AGAATTTTTTGTGTTATTTTATTTCGTTGAAGCTTGATCAAGAATAGATTTAAAAAAAAAAATTCAGAACTATTGGGACATATCAAAGCGTCTTGTCTTGTAAGAACTGTTAGGATGCCTCGAGATGTTCTAATTGGAAAAGCTCTGTTAGGATGATTCAAAGTGTCCCAATTGGAAAAAGATTTTTAGGATGCTTCAAGGAGTCCCAATTGGGAACACTTTAATGGGACACTTAATTTTAATGGGATGGTTGTTTGTGTCCCAAAGAGCTAATAGGACATTGAGTTGAGGGACGCATTCACTTGTGTCTCAAAAGCTTATACGTCCTTATATATAGGTTATCAGGACACTTGAAAGCGTCCCTAATCAACCTCTTTGTTGTAGTGTAATTAAGATCATCTACAACTGAAAATTATAATTGAACGCTGTTTAGACCATCTCCCTCATGACTAGTGATCAACTAATTTGCCTGCATTTCATTCTTATGTTTTCGAATTTTTATAGAATTTCTCAAAGGATTAAAGAATATGAACAATAATACATATGGTGATAATTTATAGTGAAATGAAATAGTGATAAATTAAAAGACAAAACCACTCTTTTAATAATTATCATATAAATAACATATAATTATGTATTTATATATATGTGCCGCACCGATCACTATTCGGTATCACTATCCATTTTCACTGGATTTCATTTTCCAAAGTCATTTTAAAGACAGTTTTAGGGCTATTCATGGAAAATAATAAAATATGAGTAGCAATTAGGTACAAAAACTAGGTGCCGAAGCCGACTTGGTTAAAAATCCACGTAGTGGTGCGAGCCTTATCTTTGCAAAAAGAAAAAGTAGAGATTTAGAAATTCATTTAATCTAGTGCACAAAACCCGTAGACTTTGTTTCAATAAAAATATATTTTCTTCATAACGTCATTATAACTCCTCACAATATTTTAGTATTTGACATTGGAAAAGTTCCACGTATTAGTAGTAGTGATTGGATCACTAACAGATAACTTAGGTTACTAATGTTTGCACATTGTGATTGCTCAAACTCATCAGTTCCCAAACATTATTATTAAAAAAAAAATTTGAGGTTTAAAAAAAAATGCAGTGGAAACCTACGTAGGTTAGGCGGTGAAGAGAGAGTAATTGGCACACCGACGGGAAAGCTATCGTGTATTCCAATTCATGATTTGGCCACAATTACACGGTTTTCCATCTTAATTGGAATTAACACATCGATGCACCACCCCAATACTTATGATAATTATCGCCAATTCCATAAATCTCTATCCACTTTAATCTCTCTCCATAAATTAATTTGCGTCATTTTCCATCTGAAAGGGTGAGGCACATACACATTCATATGGTAAATAAATTAAATATTCATCCGTCTCAAAAAGATAATTTATTTTGTTACATTATTTTTGAGACAGAAGAAATAATACTACCTCCGTCCCAAAATAAAAAAATAGTTCACATTGAGTTTTTAAATTTGTACTGTTTTTAGTACAAAATTCAAAACTTAATATGGATTATTTTTTTGGACGGAGGGGGTAACTAAGTTAAGTCATGATTTAGTTGTGCCGAAGAATAATTTTATTGTATTATTTCAATTTCCGATTGTTGAAAATCTTAGTTCCATTTCTGTCTCTTGTTTTATCAGGGAACGCTACAAATTAAACCTTAACTTTTCTCTTAGCGCTAATCCCTACCGTCCAAACAAATGAATACGTACTTACAAGAATATGTTTCACATGACGGATCTTAATTGTGTGAAAGCAAATACCTATCGTATTTCAAACTCATGGCGGCATCGTATGCTTGGATCAACCATTGGTGAACCTTAAGTTTATATATGAGACATTCACTAGTGGTTTAAAATTTGATATTCTTAAATCTTGATTTATTGAATCAATAATTTCAAACATGTGTTATACTTTAAAAAAAAAAGGAAAAAAAAAAAACTAATTTGCTTCATTTTCTTAAGTATCTTCTTGCACACAATCACAGCGATGATCAACTTTGAGTCATAAACGCTACAATTCAATCAAATTCTTATAGTCATTTGGGAAGAACTGATCATTGATGAAAGGCCCTTAAAATGATGAGAATAAGGTAAAAATTTGATTTGTTCTTTTGTCCGTATACGATTCTTACTTCTGTTGAAATTTTGCATACTTGCAAATTATTGACATGCATATGCATATCCGTATAAGAATACAATTTGTTTTTTTGACCTTCTCAATCTGGCAACTAGCCTAGCTAGCTATTTCCCGGGAAAAAAGTTACAGGACAATATTAGTATGGATTCACTAATGTTGGATTTAATAAGAAGACGAGGTTCAAAACTCATCTAAAATATAATCTATCTTTAATCCATATTTAATGTTGGATTTAAAATTTTTTATTAATTGTTTCATCCATTCAGTTGCCTACAACTCATCAAGACAGTTTGTTATTATTGTGGATAATGTAAACCAGCAAATATAAAGGGGGAAAAAAATTCAAGATACATTTTAGAGTAGTAATTGAAACCACAGCGGTAATTCCGATTATGAGATCAGTAGAGCTGCAATTTTAGTTTAATTTATGAAGAAGAAGGTGACACTGACTTACTCTTGTGAAGACAAAGTGAAAAAGTGATGCATTGACATTTAGAAGCAGAACAGATCTACGACGTACATGGGCAAAGCAGTGTTGGTGACACCATTTAAATTGGCTCTTCCCTGATCAATAATGATAACTATTCCCTCTGTCCCAAAATTATTGTCTATCTTGAGATTTCATTTTTAGTACAATTTAAACTAAAAATAAAAACCCAAAATGGACAATAATTTTGAAACGGAGGGAGTATAAATTATTCGAATTGTTGTTTGTTCCTTTGGTTTAACATGTTTGGACAGGAATCATATTGAAATTAGAGTTACTTAAAAGTCGAAACATCAATGATAAAAAACAACGTTACATATACTACTAGTGTCTGGACCTATATATTTCAAAATAGTATTTAATTAGCTATACATGTATATCGGCCTAACCTTTTTGGCTCCAAAAGATGGTGATGATGATGTCTTTGGGCCTCTTCGTCTTCGCCATCAGACACCATTCAGGAGTCACAATAATTATGGGTTTCATTCTGTCGGGAAACAATTTAGTGGAAAATGTTCTGCTGATCTTCTTTATATATGAAAAAACCGTAGCAAATTATGGAAGAAAGTTAAGATTAATTAAGCGAATTTATAATTGATGCAAAACGCGGAAGCTTCTATCATAGGGTTTTACTAAGCTCCTTTATGTGTAATCCTTATATTTTTACTGCTCATCTTTTTATTATAATATTCATTGTAAGACTATTTCGTCCCTTACTAAAAGTCATGTATGGGTTTTTTTTTTTTTTTGGTGTCAGAACTAAAATTTGTGAATACAACAATAATAAATATATCCTGAATATTCTCTTTCCCTGAAAATGATTATTAAATAATTATTGTGTTTATATTTTCACTTTTAGTATAACTTACACTAAAAGTTAAAAATTCAAACTAAATAATTATTAGGGACGGAAAAAGCTTACTATAAAACTAATCATATCTATTCATACAAGAGATTCTAATTATCCCTTGCATACCAATACGAGACACGAATTATGCCAAGGGGCGCTGAAAATTTTTGGGACACTAAAAAGGAACGAATGGGGGAAACCAAGGGTATTGTCTAGAATTACAGACGTTTTCCTTTAGCGTAAGAGAATAGCTAGGCGGCTTGATTATCCGACGCTTAAAGTTCTAACCCCACATTTAGGTTCATTGTTTATGTCATAATCATTGTCTCCATTTTGTTGTAATTAGATTGTGCCAGTTGAAGTAAATCAGACCACTTGATGAAGTTAGGACATGCAGTAGAGAATTATAAGGTTGAAGTTCAGACTTCAGACGCTAAAATATCCATTAAAAAGATTTGGAGATATTAAAGGTTTTGCATGTTTGTTTTTCTTCTTATATAAAATGATTGTCCAGTTTAAATTTTTTTTTTTACTTTCAATACATTTTGAACTAAAAATAAAACAATCTGGACATAATTTCGGGAAGGAATACCACTTGTTCTTTACTTTTTCGCATCATTTATCTGTTAATAGATTTATTTTTCTTTTCTTCTTTTCATCTAACGAAAAAAAAGTCTACCATCTTAGAAACCTAAAATCAGATTGGACGAGTTGATGCAAACATGCATTTCCGAGGCAACAAAAAAGTCATACGTGAGACAGCGACATGTACTTTTTTAAATGTTTGTTTTTTTTTGTTCATGATGTATGATTCATGCTGACATTTGCACCAAAAAGTGAAAAAACAAAAAAATGTAGAAAAGAATAGGATTGATCGATCAAGATAGTCGTGTAGGTCACACGTATGGTAGCTGCTACAAACAAATCTTGCCGCAACATAGAAATATGAGTTAGCAAAAGCCTTCACTTCTCCGGCGTTAGTTCCCCGGTTCTCCCCCCCCCCCCACATATTCCTGCTCTTGAGTTGACAATGGGAGGGTCTTTTTTTTCTTCTTTTTTTTTTCAGAAGTGAATTTATTTAATTTGCTAGAATCCGTCTAACTTAGATTGAAGTATAAAGTCGGGAATAGTGTTCTAATATATCTTGATTGTATAGAGAATTTTCTGCTCTTTTGTTTTCTGTATCATGGTTGAACGAGCATATATAGTATAATTTATGTGATTTATTCGTTGGATACATTTTTAAATTTGTGTATCATAAATAAGACTTTAAAAACTATTACTATCCCCATCTAGCTAGGTAGTATGCGATAGAACTAAGCTCGTAAAGAAAATATAATGATAATTAAAAATTATAGCTTCTGCGCGTATGATCTTGTCAACACCACCATGTATGTAATGTACTCCCTCCGGTACTTATTATACATTTTGATTTCGTCTTAGATTTAACTTAAAATGTCTTTTTAATTGGAAAAAAAACCTTAAAAATATATTTTCACATTCCTTGTGTTCTCTTAATTATTATGAAATATTTTTAAAATTTTTATTTTAATTTTAAAAGATATCAAAATGCTTTATAATAAGGACTGGAGGGAGTATTGAAGTATGAATGTATAGAGGAAATACCGTTTACAGACCAAAAAAATGTAAAAGGTATAATTCTTCATTTTACAGAGACCAGATCGGCAAAAGGGGGAACAATCAATTAACACACATCTCAACAGACAAGAATTTGTACAAAGAGGGATATGTTCGGAGATAATATTCATGGATCAGTTTCTTTGAGGTGTTTTTGTGGTCATTTTTTGTCATGTGCCTTATTATCTTCGGCCTTCTTCTCATCCTTTTTCTCGTCTTTCTTTTCTTCTTTAGCTGGACCAACCGATACAATATCAATCTTCCCAAGTTTCTTCAGTTTCTTGGCTACTGCGACCGTGTCCATTTCCCCGATTATGGTCACCTTCTGATCGCTCACATTAGCAGCAATTGAATCCACTCCTGCCACCCCATTAATCGTTTCAAAAAGAACACAAACAATTAATCAAACATATGCAAATGAATACTTTTATACATGCATGATGAGTCTATGATCATAGTTTTCAAATAGAGAGGTTCATTCCAAACAATATTGATTACCAAAAATGTCAGCAACTGCTTCGATTGCCTTTTGTTTTGTCTTCTCGTCGGTCAATGTCATAAGTTTCACCACCACTTTTTGCTGTTAGAAAAAACCATGAATTTCACAGTATAAATCTCTAAGTTATAGGTCGAACTATGCAAATTTAAGTAAAGTCATTCAGAAAACACAAACCGGAAAAATATATTGTTCCTCGTGCAAATCAAAAACTAAATTTACCTGTGCCATGAAAATTCAGAGAAAATGTGCATCCAAGAACAGACAACTCGGGTTCTTGAAGAGAGAGATATTGGGAAGGAGACAATTAGGAAGAGAAGGTACTAATTATTTTGGCTTAATTGGCTCTTTAAACTGATCCAAACAAATTTAAGTGTTGTTGGCTGCCACACCTGATTTGCTCAATAGGGAGATCTAGTCAATTGTCAAACATTGCCGTGGGTTTCGGTTTCACCACTTCCTTGTGATATCATTCCTCCAAACAAGAACTAAAGATCAAATTAGATTTCTCTGATCAATCTTCTAATTGGTTCATGGAAAAGGATACACATTAAGTACTGCATTTAAATATCAATTTCAACTACACGAATCTAGCTTAATGTTGAATCCTAGTCATATTCCTACCACATATCGCAATTAATTACCTGTTCAGTATTATCAATAGTTTACTTTTTTTTGGAATAAAAAAAAAAAAAACAGATTGACCTACGGAATAATAAATAACCTGAAAAATGTAATTCAAAATTTCATCCCAATTTTTCTTTTTTTTTTATTTTTTTAAGAAAGGTCACTAATTCATTAAACTTGCTGGAGGAATTCAGCCAACTCTGAATTATACAAAAAAGAAAAAAAAAATCCCAAGTTTGAGACTTCGAGTGAGAAGCTATTACATGAGCCATGCCATTTTGCAATATGAGGATCCAATATAAAGCCGAAAAATTTAACTCTGCTATCAAACTTCTAATCTCTAAAGTGTAGGTAAACAAATTGAAGAACAATCAGCTTCACCCGCAGATGCGAAAATAGCAACCGAAGAATTACCCAAAATAGTAACATTTTGGAGATTAAGATCTTTTAAGACATGAAGGGGTTCCTTGAGTGCCAAGCATTCAGCCAACTCTGCATATTGGATATCAGATATGCATCGTCCAATAGGCATTTGAAATCCTCCAGCCTCAGTTCTCACAAAGACCCCTAAACCAACTCCATAAAAATAGATACAAGTCTTCAAGTCATTTGGAGCTAAAAGGTGACATGATCTAAGGGTCAGAGATACAGAAATTTGATGAACAGTAGAAGATTGATATTCTTTCAACTGATGGCTAGCATTAGTTAGCAAGAATATATATGAGCAGTAAAATGATCTTCTCCGAATAGAATACCGTTCCTTGCAAACCATAATGAGTTGCACAAGACTGCAAAGTATTGTGCAATTGATTTATCAGCTTTAACAATGATATTCCTCACCCAGAGATCCCATCTTCATTGCTACAAAGCCAAGATGCAATTTGAAAGACCAATTGCAGACCGTACCTTAGATGCAAATCTACCCCAGAAAAAAAAAGAAGAGAAGTTGTACCAACTCCGGTGGAGCATAAAGGGCAAAAATGATTTGGGAAACAGCCGCGCCTTTCAAGATTTTCTCGCGAGGGAAGTGAATTGGTTGCACATCTCCATAGAAAAATGGAGGATTCTATTTGGTAAACGAAGTCTCCAAAGCTTTATCCAGAAAGTGGTGTCAATAGTTGAGAGTTCAACACCATGATGTAGATCACTGTGTGGAATGGCAGATCGCATTAAGGTCTTGTAAGCAGATTTAACATTGAATATGCCATTATGAGAATGGTGCCATATCTATTTATCCTGTCTGGTGAGATCTCCCGGAGTTAAAAAAAAAAAAGATACAATCAGCTTCAACAGGAAGGAAAATACTTCTGATCAAGTCCCTTTTCCAAACACCAGACTCTTCATCAATCAAACAAGAAATAGTTGAAACGTGGCAGAATCATAGGAGGGTTGTCACTGTGGAAATCAGCTGAACATATTGCCTGAGGGAATTTGCTTACGGGCTTCCTAGCAGAAGAACATCGTGACCTTATAGTATGCTTCTCCAAGTGAATGATGGTCTTGAACCTGGTAAAGCATCTAGAATAAAAGAGTTAGGAAAATACTTAGCCTTGAAAATTCTTGCTAACAATGAATTTGGATAAGAATTCTCTAGGTAAGGCTAGATCGAAATTTCTCAGATCCGGAAAGCCGAGTCCTCCAAAATCTTTAACCAGCTTATGCAAGTTACCACCTTATTTTCCTTAAATCATGATCACCCCACCAGTATGCCGAAATCATGGAAGTAAGCTCCTGAATTATTGAGTCTGGCAGCTTCAAACATGACATGGTATACACTGGTATCGCTTGAAGCACACTTTTAATCAAGATCTCTTTGCCTCCACGTGAAAGATCTGTTTCCTTCCAGCCTTCAATCTTCTTCCAAACTCTATCTTTGATTGAGTTGAATAGCTCTCGTTTACATCTTCCTGAGACAGTAGGTAGTCCTAATGTCTGGAAACTTTAGGAATTCCCAGAACTTAAGAAATTTGATCAGCTACAGAATCTTCTGTATTTGGACTAAATACTATTCATGACTTCTCATAATTGATTTGCTGGCCTGAAATCTGGACATATGTCTGGATTTCATATTTAAATTGCAAGGCTTCATTCACTGTGGTTTGACCTAAAAGAGGAGTGTCGTCTGCGAAAAAAAGATGAGAGACAGAAGTGGCACTAGTAGTAACAGCAATACCGTGTATATGTCCGCAAGCTTGTAGATCCCTTAATATGCAAGAGAAAAACTCAGAGCAAACGATAAAAAGGTAAGGAGACAGTGGGTCTCCTTGTCTTATACCTTTATGTGGCAGTAGTTTTTCGAATTGCATACCAGTAACCAGGAAAGCAAAATAAACGGTAGATAAACATTGAAGGTGAAGATCTACAAAATCATAATCTATACCTACTGCTCTCATAATTTCCTAAGAAAACTCCATACTACGGATTCTATTCGCAAGGACTTTTGAAACTAATTTGTAAACAACATTGCAAAGTGAAATAGGTTTAAATTACGAGATGAAATGTGGGCTTTTAACTTTAGGAATGAGAACTAAATATGCAAAATTTATGGAATGATTAAAGTGGCTTTTATTTAAAAAATCGAAAACATACTTAGTAAAATCATTTCCTACAATCTGCCAGAATTTTTGGAACAAGATGGGAGATATACCATCCGGGCCAGGAGATTTGAACAGACATATTTGTTTTAGAGCACTTCCAATTTCAGCTTCTGTGAAGGGCAACTTGAGTCGATCATTCATCTCTGATGAAACCCTAGGTTGAATTCTACCTAGTGCTTGCTGGATATCCGATTGAGATGGCTGAGTAGAGGTGAAACGTTCAGCAAAATGCTCCATTATGATCTTCTCCAAATCATCTTTTGCTTAACAATCAATCCCGTCTTGATTCTCTTAAGAAGAGATGTGATTAATTTCCTTACGTTTATTCGCATGAGCATTAAAAAATTTGGTGTTACAATCTCCATTGCGATACCAATGTTGCTTACTTCATTGTTTCCATTTCAGATCATCTTGTTCTAACAACACCTCAAGTTCAGCTAAAGAACAGATTCTTTGTTTGGAAGAATCATCAATTGTACCTTGCTCAATTGGATTGATCATAAGCTTCAAAGAGTCAATACGTTTGGTAATGTCACGTACCTGTTTGCCATCCCAAGTCATCAAACCTATTGCACAGTTATTGATCATATCAGGCAACTCTAAAGTAGAGTTATTCCAAAGTTTCTAAAGAATCTTTCACAATACTTTTTGTTCAAGTATTCGAGTTTGTTTGTTTTTGGATGTTTTAGCGATTTTGAGGTGAAAGAAAAACAATACTTTCATGTTCTTATTTGATAGAAACTTCCGCAACGTGCTTTTTGGATTGAAAGATTCATATGAATCCGTGCCAATTGCAAAGCATAAGTTTCAAAACAAACAATAAAACAAGTTGAAATTATAGTGCTATTAACTTGAACAAAAAGTACCGAACACAAGGAAGGACTTAAAAAATATTTTTTGAAATAATCATGCAAAACAATAAATAAAAATATAAATAAAATTTATAATATAGAAAAATTGGCTAAAAGAAAAGAAATACATACGTAAATAATTATAAAAACTGGAAGTCACGGGAAATTTTGACCAAAAATCTAGGTGCAATTTACTGAAATCTAGGTGAAAGATAATATTTTTACTAAAATCAATAAAATTTATGGTATCATTTTCTCTTTTCCAGAAGTTTGGGGCAAAAATGTTGTAGTTTATGACAAAATTTTGTTAGTTTGTCATTTTGTCCTTAAAAAAGTATCTAAAACAACAAATTCAAACATAGGGTACATGATTTGACCAGATCAATTCTTAAAGTAAATGATTTAGAGACCCCCTAGTCGTAGGGTACATAAAGTGGATTTTTCCCAATTAAGAATATAGGGAGATTAATGATAACTTGTTTTTCTTTAACGGAAAATAACGAATGACGTAGTTTTATGTATCGAAATTTTGGGCGAGAAAATAATTAAGGAAGAGATGTCGTCGCTGACATTATCTTTCAATAGGTTAAAGGGATTGCAAATCATGACTTAATGTGAGATCTTTCATTTAAATCTTTATGTACAATAGACCCAAGCTAGATAATGGAAAAATACTATTTGAAGGAATCTAGTAACTTTGAAATTCAATTTCATGAAAAATTTTCATGTTTGATGTGAGAAATGAGATCAAAAATTTGGGAGACATAAAAAAGTTTACATATAATATCAAAATAAAAAAATAAAAAGGAGAAATTTATGTAAGAACAAACTAAAAAAAAAAATTCTTACAAAGTAAGATTTTTTAAAAAAAGAAAATCTAGAACAGTAACTGGCGAGTTTTCTTCCCATTTTATTAAAATAAGAAAAAATAGTATAAACGACAATGCTCAAGACCTACCCAAAAGGAAAAGAGACCATCATACAAGTAAGATTAGACATCGAAAAACAGTTGCAAAATAAGAATACCTATAAATCTATTAAACAAAGTCGAAACAAAATGGGGAAAAAAGTGTTAAAGCTTGTTTGTGCAGCTTCTCAATCTAACGCGCTTCGAGAGTGCCCAAAATAATATTTGACAGAAAATTCATATTGTATATCAGTAACTAATTTAGTTTTTCTTACACGTCAATCAATGTAAAATGTCCAAAATATTACCCAATATATCATGTAGACATAAAAAAAAAAATGTGTTAATTGCTAGACAATAACATTGCTAATGCAAGTTATTCAATTTTTATTATTCTTTTAATGGAATAAAGTTGCATCTCATTCACATAGATAATGTTGTGTACATTATTTCAAAGTTAAAGTAGCAGTATCACTACTAGAAGTAGCTTCTCATTATTTCTTCTTGTTCCACCTCATATTGCAAGAAATTTTATCCAGTTCTTCTGAAACCTTTTCTTTTTCATGTTTTAACTTTAGGTTTTCACTTATAGTATAAATTATTATAAAATTAAAAATAAAACTATGACAATAACTTTAAAACATAAAAAAGAGTAATTTACGATACAATTCATTTGCGAAAAAAATGTTCACCGTTATTAACCCACTAATGTTGTTCGCAACATCTCTTTCTTTGATACAATATGTCATCCTTGCTATTTATAAAACTCACATCTCAAAGTAATGTCAAAACTTCTTTTAAGTTAAACATGGAGATTTTCTTTTTCAAACATCAGACTCCTCCTAAACTATCAGATATCTATTTCAACCCATATTTAAGGAATAAAAAAAGATGTGTGTGTAAAGACATTTTAGTGTCTCCATTGCAAAATCCACATCGTGATATCCCAGAAATTATCATTAGTCAATATCACAACATGGAAAATCTATAAACAAAAGATGAAAAAGGGAGAAAAACAAAGCACATTATATATCAATTACATTGCTACAACTTTGAAACCTTCCTACCTTTTAAGATTTTCCGAGCCAATGAATTTCTCATCCCAATAAAAAAAAAAAAAAAAATCCTCTCAAGCTCTAATGAATTGTCAATAGCAAATATACAAAGAACTAAACGTAAAAATTAGAATTAAGTTCAATTTATAGAATTATAAAATGAAAATAGACATCAGATAAAAATTAGGTAATAGAAACGTACTTTGGATCTCTTGATGTGAAATTCATCACTTGAATGTTGGGTTATTCTCCTAGAAGATATTCAAAAGTGTTAAAGCAGGATGCATACATGACGTTGTAAGGATTTCTTCCTCTTTTCTTATTGTTATTATTTTTGATAAATTTAGGGTCATTTTCTTGGTGAATTTAGGAGTAGTGAACGTTATCATTCCCATTTCTTTTCAGATTTAGAAACTAAAGCAAAATTGATGAAATAATTTGGAAAGAGTGAAAGGCTATAATAAATTCATTAAATCAGACATTAGATTAATAAATTGATTAGTTATCAAAATTACCATTTTAGTATACTATCAAAATTTTTCAAACTTTCTTTATGTATAATATAGGTAGATTTAGGGGTATTTATTGGTGAATTAAGGAGTAGTGAACGTTTCTCATTTCCATTTCTTTTCCGTTGAAAAAACCAAACCAAAAGTGATGAGTAATTTTCAAGGGCTATAATAAATTCATTAAATTAGAAAATTTATTAATAAATTGATACATTATCAAAATTATTCTTAAATTTTCTAATTTGGTAGGAAATGGGATTGAAAATTTGGGAGACATATAAAAGTTTAGACATAACATCAGGAAAAAAAGCGGAGAAATGTCTGCAAGAACAAACTAAAAAAAGAATGTTACAAACTAAGATTAAACGGAGAAAAACAGTTACAAAATAAGTACACCTTCAAATCTCTTAAACAAAGTCGAAACAAAATGGGCAAAATATATATATATATATATATATATATATATATATTGTGTGAGAGCTTCTCGATCGACTATGGTAGTGAAGATATGTTAGTTGACGATAAAATTGAGCAATAATTTGTGATAAATGTGGGCGGGGAGTGATACAAAAAAGTACTCCTCTATTTTTTATTATATATTGTTTTAGGATTTAGTGAATTTTTTTAAATATATGTCGTTTTCATAAATCGAGACACAATTGACCATTTTTTTCCAACATTGTCACTACATTAGAAATGAAACAGTATTGATAATGAGTTTTTATTAGTTTGTGATGAGTTGTATAAATCATAAGTAAGGGTGCTTTTGTATTTTAGTTAGATTAATTAACATTTTCTTGGTTTTGATGAATTCTCTAGAAAGACATATAAACAAAAAATAGAGGGAGTAACTAATTCACGCAAATGAATTGGAAGATTATAACTTAGTGAATATATCCAAGACATTAACATTAGGCAATTGATAAATAAAGATGTCTTTTGTTATATTGAGAGCAAAATCTTATCAACTTTTTTAATTACCCTCATATACATATCTTTTAGATTTATTTATCATCAGTTTCTTTAGAGATGAGATAGATTTACTCACAGCAAACTATGTAATAGTTTCCACTTCCTACTCTAAGTCCATTTAAAAACAATAGTAAAATAGAACCAAAAAAAAAAAAAATTCTTCAATGCTATGACCTGGGATTTAGACCAATAAAATGAAAAAAAAAGAAAAGAAAAACTTGCCTCTAAGCAGTAAAATGTTATCACCTTTTTTTATAAGGGACTAACAGTTTGATTGTCCACGCAAAACTAATTTTTGGCGAGTAATAGATTTTGAACAAATATTTAACATATCAACTGTCTAGATAACAAATATTTTGAGATTCTGGAAAATTTCATTTTTTTAGTTATGGTAAATTCATATATTTTACATTTGAAGACAGACTACGAAGAAAGTTGGACTCAACTGGAACGGACGTTTCTTTTGTTGTCTTTATTTACTTCTTTATATACTAGTGATGTCTGGTCGCGCAATGCGCGACCCTGGCCCAATATATCTGTATATCTTAGAAATATTTGTATCTGAAAAAAAAATATTTTGTGTTTGGCCCGATATATTTTAGAAATGTTTGAAAAATTTAGAAATGTTTTATAAGTGTGATCATAGAAATGTTTGTATTTGGCATAAGAAGAAATTGTATTTAACCCACGTTTTAGAAATGTTTGAAGATTTTAGAAATGTTTTATAAGTTTTTCTTCTTAAATATAAATAAACTTGATCAAATATATATCTTGAATTAAATGCTAGACAAAATATAAAGGTATCCTAATAAGTTTAAATATTAGTAAGATAATTTATTGATGTTATCCGGTTGTGCCAAATCAATACTTAGTTTTGGAGATTTATAATAGCTTTGTAGTAAGATTCCTCAGAAGGGTATATGCTTAATTGTTGAAACTATTTCTTTCAAAAGTTTATAAGTAGTAAAATATCAAAAAATATGATTTTGAAACTGGTTAATTGATGAAACTGGTTGATCACAAATATGAGAATGAAAATAGTGTAAATTTGCATAGGATTCAAGTTATACCAAAAAAGAACTCACCTCACCATAGCAAATAAAAAAAAAAAAAAGAAAGTAAAAGATAGCCCATTTAAAATTGAGAAATTTATTTTTTTTCTGTAGATAAAAATGTTGTATAAAAATACAAATAAACGTAGAAACATCATTATTTCCCTCTCCGCCTCAAATTCATAAAAGGCTTCCCCAGAAATTAGTTAGAAGAAGCGACCTGAACTATTTAGATGATGAGAAACTAAAAAAAGTCCAAAAACTAAAATTCAAAAAGTATATTCTTGAAAGCCCGAACACAAAAAAACGCACTTTATTTGCAAATAAAATAAAATAATAATAATAATAATTGGTCAACTGGGAGTATGAAACAAAATAAAAATAATTAAACAAAGAAAAAACACACTTCGTAACTGACCATATACGAAAAAAAAACTGAGACTCTATAATTAAAAAAAGAAAACCACTCTAATTGAATGAAACATGAAAAATAAATTTAAAAAATAACACTTTGTAACAAAATCTCAATTAATCAATTCAATCCAAACAGAACTAAAATCATATAAAACTTCTAGGCTAACTAACTATATAAGAAATCACATCATATTACCTGAAAATGGCTACGGTAGCTGTTACGGATAGACGCATAAAAATAATAGTAATAAAACTATTCTTGAACGGGGAAAAAAATAATAAAAGCCAAACAAATGATCTGTGAAAATAAAATCATTTAAATTTTAATACCTGTAATTGCATCACCACAACGGCCGAAGCAAGATCAATGAGAATTTTTTTTTCCCTTTGTGTTTATTTAGAAAGGTAAAGAGAATATTTTTTTAAGTCGAAATTTTATCCGATTAGGATGTAGTTGATCATCACTAATGAAAAGATTGAACATGCTAATAGGAAATGAGTATATTTCATCACATATTCTCAATTGATTATTGATGAGGAATTTGTTTTTTTTTTTTTATTGTGGAGAAGTGATTGATTAGGGAGTCGATTGTCGTGGAGATGGGGATGAGTATTTGGATTTTTTATGAACCCGTCATTTTTTTTTTGGCAAAAATAGGAGGTGGAGGTGGATTTGGACTGCATTTGCCTTTTAAGTTTAGGAGATGTGAAAATAAAGATTTATTTTAAAAATATGATGTGGAAATGCCACATGGCAAATTGTGGTGCTTTCTCTTAAGTGTGGTTTTTGTTTCTAATATAGTAAGATATAACGAAATGTTGTTTTTTAAGGAGCTCTTCACGAAACATGTAAAATAAGGGAAGGTTTTTTTCTTTCTACATAAGTTTTTGCTTTGTTTTGCAAGGGTTAAATGGAATTAGATAGAGGAGTATGAAATAGTGCTGTGAGATGAAAGTTATATCATGGCGAAAATTAAGCATCAATGAAAATGGTAATTTGATAAATTTCTACAAAAAGGGTAATATAGGAAATTGAAAAAATCTTGCTCTATAAATAACAAAAATGCTCTTTATTTATCAACAGCCTTAACACATTAATATATTTGCAAGACTCTCACAATAAAGTTTGCCCCTAAATTAATTTCCTTGAAGTTTGGGGTCATTTTTTGTGATCTTTCATTTCTTGAGCCTTCTTCTCGTCTTTCTTCTCTTCTTTGGCTGGGCCAACAGATATAATGTCAATCTTCCCAAGTTTCTTCAGTTTCTTGGCTACTGCGACCGTGTCCATTTCTCCAACTATCGTCACTTTTTGATCATTCATATTAGCTGTAATTGAATCCACTCCTGCAAACCAAAAACAATAATTTCGAAGAAAACAAAAAGATCAGCTAACGCAAATATGTAAATAATAATGACCAACCTCCTCAATTCCGATTAGAAATTATGTTCAACAATGGAAGAATGATTTTACCAAAAATGTCAGCAACAGCCTCGATAGCTTTCTGTTTGGTCTTTGCATCGGTCATTGTCGTTAGTTTCACCACCACTTTTTGCTGTGAGAAAATAATGCGAGTTCCACTCTAATCAAATTTCGAAGAAGTAATAAATGGGAATACACAATCAAACATTTCTCTTTTTTAAAAAAAAATTAAAAAAAAAAATTCCCTTATTCCTCAGTCAAGAATCGCGTTACCTGTGCCATGAAAATGTGGGAACGATGTACTAACTTGGTTTAATTGACTCTTGAACTGAAATCCAACAATTTAAAGTATTGTTGGCAGCCACATCTGATGTTCACCCCCCATTCTTTGAGATTAACTCCAAACAAGAAATAAAGATCAAATCAGATTTTTCTATTTCTTCTCATTGGTTAATGGGAAAAAGCCACATAGGAACTGTTTTACATCCTTACTTTGGATTACACGTAGGTTAATGTATAGTCAGAAAATGTAAGAGATTGCTGCTCTTTTGGTTTAATGTGTCCCAAAAATCAATTCACTTTGTTGCGCGATTGGAAATTAACCAATACCATAAGATGAACTAAATATACCACTCACAAAATTGTTAACCCGCCGATGTTTTAGTGTTATATTTTTTGGAAGTCTCTTTTTTTAGTGTTATAAAATGATATGAAAAAAAAAAACGATACATAAATTCATTTTCAGTTTTTTTAAGTGTTGAGTCAAGGTGTGGTTGTACGATTCTTCTAAATATTTTACAAAGTAAGCAACCTCCATCATTAACCGTGTTATTTTTCACTAAAAACTGAGTTACTACACTTTTTTATTTTATTTTTTTTTAAGAAAATAACTTTTCTACATTTTATAATATTCAATGAAGAAAGGCAATGAAAACTTTCCAATTATATCTCTCTATAAATTTTTTTTTTTTTAAAAAAAAAAAAAGCATCGCAAGCCTCATTTAGCAGAAATCTCAGCCTGCTTGTGGGTTGGATAGTAACACCAGTACTCCATACGAAATGCCCAATTGGATGAGCTAATTGGGTTTTTAAACAGCTTCAGCATGGGCTATTATGTCTGAGCTGGGTTTACAAAATAGGGCAAAGCCACTCCAACAGAGGGTTTTTCCCCTCAATCTATGGTACAATCATGATTAATCTCTTGCTCAATTGTAAATGTCTAATAAAACATCTTACGTGCGGATTTTAACACTCAAACCTCACACTAGTACGTAAAGCTCTTCCAAATTCCAATCAATCACACATCCTTAGTCAATTCGTCCGAATTTATTCAACAAAGCCAACTTTTCCACTTTCCTGGTTCAAGGGAAATAATGCGTGTGTGTTTTAAGGTAATTACACGGTTGGAAATTTGACTCAAATGAAATCGCCTAGGTATTTGTTACTAAGGCAATGAGTCAGTGAGGGGAGAATGGATCCAGGGTGGAATAAGGGTTTACTCTATAATATATAGTTTAATCAATAATAATAATAATTTTTTTTTCATATTGTAAGGTGTCTATTCGGCAATAGTGACTAATCCCCCTCGCTCATGGCAGGCACCTCAATGGGTGGGGAACTAGCCAAAGAATTTAAGGTTACTCAATGGCCATAGCGAAGTTCGATCTCTCGACCTATGGTTAAGGATAGAGAAGTTCTTACCACACCACCACTACCCTTTTGGTTAATAATAATGATTTGTGACACGGTTTTTTTTTTTTTTGGACACCGAATGTATTTGTTGATAGATAAAAAAAATTAAAATTAAAATTTTCGAATAAGTCATGCAAGATTTACAGGCACTAATCATATATATGTTCTTTTTCTCTTATCAACATGCTGTGCTAGTGTACTAAGTTAGAGTATATGTTGCAATACAACAAAAATTAATAAGTTATATGCCTTGTGCTTGCGCGCAACATCAATATTGAACAGCACCAAATTTCACTCTTCAAATTACGTCACTCCCACAATCATTATCCTTAAGAAGAAACCAAACCAAAGATTTATATAATACCCTCGTGAACCTGACTCGAAATATTCCATATCTTATTTGATCAATTCTTAACTCCCATATATGTTCATATTTTACCTTAACATTTTAAATCTTCGGTTCGAAGTGGTGGTATTCTAATTAGACATTGTCGGTTTGTTTCATCCAGAGTAATTGTCTTACATTATTAAAAAAAAAATGTCTGATTTATGTCAATTTTTAGCATAATAAATATAATAATTTTAGAACGGACGGATAAAACTGTATTGTTAGCTAAAAAGAAGGTTGGACTGAGCCCGAAGAAAAAATTGCGGGCTTCAAGCATTCCCAGGTATGGAGATCAACGCACGTTGTTTATTTAATTGAGTAATGTGAATTCTAAAAGTTCTACACAAGTCAAGGACTTATTTATCATCGGTTATGTAGTAGTAATAAACTACATGGACGGCTGTTTAGTCATGGCACCGCCATATATATCTTGCATTGATATTTTATCATCAGTGTTAAAATAAGGAGGGCAAAAGTATTTTGTTATACTATGTCATAACTTCTTAGGTACATACATACATACATATATATATATATATATATATATATATATATATATATACTCCTTCGGTTCCATAATTATTGTCCAGTTTGGATTTTCATTTTTAGTTCAAATTATACTAGAAGTGAAATCTCAAACTGGACAATAATTTAGGGACAGAGGGAGTATTTTGCAAAACTCTATTTTATTTTAAACTTTTAACATAACAAGTACTCCCTCCATTTCAAAATATAAGTCTTTTTACACTTGGCACGTAAACTAAGAAGACAATCATCTAATAATTAATTTAAGTGTTAAATATCTATTTTACCCCTCATTAATTACATTAAATTTATAAACAAGACTAAATAAAAATAGATTAGTATATTTATTGAGGGTAAAGTTGGAAAAATAGTCAATAATTTGCTTAGAATTTGTAAAACGACCTACATTTTGAAAAATCTCTCCAAATTTAAAATGACCTACAAATTGAAATAGAGGGAGTATCAAATTGTAAGAACATTCAAGAGGCAAGAACTAAACCGTGAGTATAAAACTCCAACTGGCTAATGTGTTGATTAAATTAATTTGGTGTCTGGATTTTCTAAAATAATCCAAATAATCTGTAGCAAAAACTTGTTTAGTTGATTGTCTTCTTCCCCTACTGGAACTGAAAATAGTGCCCTCCATGATGGGCCGACAAATTTGACATTCATCAAAGCTCATTATTAGCTTAATTTTATTTTGACACCTCCCCTAGGAAGAACTTCAAAAGAAAATTGAAAAATTAACATACATTCTTGATTCCACTAACTTTATTCAAAAATCAGTATGTAAACCCCACTATCCTCAAACACAATCAACGACTTTTCTCTCTTCAATAATTGATTGACTATTAATACATAATCACTACTACTCCTTTTCTCGATCCATCGGTTTCTCCTAAATAAATAATTTATTTTACTAAACGAAAATCATGGGAAGGAGAGAATATTAACTGGCAGTAGTTACTCATTTCATCAATTTAATGAAGAAAGTAAGATCATAGTATTCCAAGAATGGAAATAATTAATTAGAATCCACGAGATCTCACTTCCCAAGGATTTTTAGTAAAATTGTTGGCTCCGTAGGAAACGCTGAAAAGATTCAAAAGATAAATTCTTCTAGATCGTCAAATTCATCAAACAAATCAAAAAAGTTATGCCTTCAAGTCTATCAAATCAAGTATACCTCCAAGAAAAAAAAAAACACCATAGTTTTTGGACCGACTGAGAATAAAAACCATGCATAATAATAGTCATGGATTTTACAGGGATTTCTCAAGCTCAAAGCTATGGAGGCCACCAATCAAGAAGGGTCCTACAACTTCTTTAACCATTTTTCTCTTCCTCTTCCTCCTCGTTGCTGTCTGGATTGCTTCTTCTTGGATCAATTCTGTAAGTTTCTAAAATCCCACAAATCATTTTTGGAAAAAAACAAATAGAGTTGTTTTGAATTTGTTTGTTATATGCAGTCTGTTGTTGTAGTTACTGAAAACCAAACCAAGAGTCATCATCATCATCGTGTTATTGTTACAAAACAAATCCTTACCAATGAAGCTCCAAAGAAGAAGAAAAGGGTTCATCAATTTCCTCTCAACTGTTCTTCATCAAATGCTACTCAAACTTGTTCATCCAACTACCCTACAAAGATTAATAATGTTCATGAATTAGTATTTCATAATAACGTGACGTGCCCGGAATATTTTCGCTGGATTCATCAAGATTTGAGGCCATTTAAGGCTAGTGGAATCACAAGAGAAATGGTGGAAAGAGCTAAAAAGACAGCACATTTTAGGTTGGTGATAAAGAAAGGGAAGGCATATGTGGAGAGTTACAAGAAATCAATACAAACTAGAGATGCTTTTACTTTGTGGGGCATTTTGCAGCTTCTTAGAAGGTATCCCGGAATGTTGCCGGATTTGGAGCTCATGTTTGACTGTAATGACCGGCCGGTGGTCCACCGGAGGGATTACCGTGGCCCGAACGCCACGGCACCTCCACCGGTATTTCGGTATTGCGGCGACCCATGGACGCTTGATATTGTCTTCCCTGATTGGTCATTTTGGGGTTGGTAAGCGTCCTTTCGGTCCATTCTTTTTTTTTTTCCCTCAATTATTACAAAGCATTATTTAGTTGTTTCATACTTTCATCAATTCTTCCACGCGTTTTTTAGTGAGATTTTTCTTTTTCTTTTTTTTTAAAAAAAAATTTTTCCTTTCTTTTCAAATGTGTGTTGAGGAATGAACTTTATTTTCATTAAAAATGGTTGAAATTGGTTTATTGAAAGTGGCTTCCACTTCTTGGCGAATGTGTCAAGGAGTGGCAAATTTCCTTTCAGCGTACGTTCCACTCTATTGTTTTGTTACTTTCTGTCTTTTAAAATTAAAAATAAACAGAGAACAAACATTAAGATGTATATGAGTAGGTAGTACTTAATTAAGCTAGTATACATAGAGAGAGGCTAATTAATTAGATATAGAGGAAGAAAAATACTTTCTCTGTCATGAATCATGATTATCTAATTCTTTTAGTACATTGAACAGCTAGTGCAACACTTAAGGATAGGGAGTTAGTTTAATTTTAGACAGTAATTAACTTTGTTGAGAATAAAGTATAGTGTAATCATAGTGGCAAGAAATGTAGAAACTGATTGGTCAGATCAGATTTAAACTAAGATATAGTATGAGATATGGCCTATGGGTATATGATGCTGGCACCATAAAGAATTGTTCGGAAATTAGGGTAAAGTTCATTTGCCTTACCCATGAATTATGCCAATTTTAACAATTATATAGTATGCTGCTAAATTTGTTTTTTTCCATTTTGGTAAAATATTAAAAACAAAGAAAAACAAAAAGAAAAGGGCTTATGATAGAAAGCAAAAAAGACAAAAATTAGGTTTTTTCTATTGAAGGGGAAAAAAAAGCAAAAGAAAATCAAGTGAAAGAGGTTAGTTTGTGATCACAAATTAACATAGATCCTCTGACCTATTATTACCTAACTAGCAAGGGTCAAAAATAAAAATAGTGATCTCTTCGTTTTTTTTTTTCTTTAGATGTTTAAATCTATATATGATCATGGCTTCAAAATATGATTCTTGCACATATATTATATTACTCGAAAATGTTGCTGAAGTAAAATGATCTTGTTTTTTTTCAGTCATTCAAGCAAAAAATATGATTATTGTTTTTATTGTTAATCTCTGTGGGGTTCTGATTGAGCTAGCTGGTTAATTATCCTCTAAATGGTGAGCTACAAGGATGGGTGCAGGGCTGAGATAAACATAAGACCGTGGGACAAAATGCTAAAGGAAATCAAAAGAGGGAACAAAAAGATAAAATGGGTAGATAGAGAGCCCTATGCCTACTGGAAAGGCAACCCTTATGTTGCTGAAACCAGGCAAGACCTCCTCAAGTGCAATGTATCCCAACAACAAGACTGGAATGCTCGTCTCTTTATCCAGGTAACTCATACTCCCTCGGTTCCAAAATAAATATCGTTTTATCAAAATAGAGAAATTTCAAAATAAGTGTCGTTCTCACATTTCAATGCACTTTTTATTCAAAATTTTCAAAATTATCCTTAAACGAATATATACTATTGGTGTACCTTTTCTTAATGGGGTTGGTTGAGAATATTCAAATAATTTTATTACCATATTTAAGAATTTCTTAAATTATGTGCAAAGTGTAGGATGACACTTATTTTAAAATAGAGGGAGTATAGCAAAATGGAAAAATTTCAAAATAAGTGTTGTTTTCTTAATTCCAAAGCATTTTTTGTCGAAAATTTCCAAGTATGCCCGCAAAAGAAATAATATTATTGGTAAGTATTTATTTTAATGGGGCTAGTTGGGGATATTCTAGTAATTTAGCTATTCTATTTAAGTGTTTTTTAAACTTTATGCAAATTCTAGAATGACACTTATTTTGGAACGAAGGGAGTTACTCCTTCCGTCCCACAAAAATAGTCCACATTGAGTTTTCAAATTTATACTAAAAACAATACAAAACTTAAAACTCAATATGGATTATTTTTGTGAGACGGAAGGAGTAACATTTATTTTAACTAAATAATGTCGTTTGATAACGAAGGTATTGATTGATGGAGCATAAACAGCTGTTTTTCCTGTCCAAAAAAAAATACTAAAAAATAAAAAATCATGTTTGTTAAATTAGAGATAAAATAAGACTTTTTTTTCAGAAAGGAAAATGGCATAAAAGTTTCCACTGATCTTTCGAGATTGGCTAGAATCATGCCAATAAATAAATGTACAAGGAAATAGTTCGACACGTGCAACACTCAATCTTCTCTTAGTTTTGTGCCTCACTTTGTTTGCGCCAGATCTTATACGCTTAAGTGAAATACTCCCTCTATCCCAAAATTATTGTATAGTTTAAGATTTTACTTTTAGTATAATTTAAACTAGAAACGAAAACTCAAACTGGACAATAATTATGAGATAGAGAAAGTATATTTTTGTGCAAAATGAGACCAAATCCTAATGGGAAATGAGTAAATAATTTTATCATCATCTGAACTTGATGTAGGATTGGGTCCGTGAGTATGAACAAGGATATAAGCATTCAAGTGTTGCAGATCAATGTACATACAGGTATATTGATTACCTGCTTCCTTATTTTCCTTGAATAATCTTTCTGTAATAATATACTTCTTTCATCTCAAAATGAATTATTACGTCTCTTATATCAAAATAGTATGTTGAAGTTCTATGTGGATAGAAATTTGAAGTATAGTTTTCTTGCTTGTGTATATTCTTTGTTCAGATATAAGATCTACATTGAAGGATATGCATGGTCTGTTAGTGAGAAGTACATATTAGGCTGCAACTCACCGACACTATTAGTCAACACCAAATTCCACGATTTTTTCTTGAGAAGCTTACAGCCATTGAAGCATTATTGGCCTGTTAAACAAGAAGACAAATGCAAATCCATCAAGTTCGCTGTAGATTGGGGTAACTCTCACCAACAAAAGGTACTTCATCGACACCCAATTAATATATATATATATATATTATAAAATTAGAGTTTAAATACAATGATCCACGTAAAGATACTAATAATTTAATTAGAGATGATTTATTTATAATTTCTTTACTAGAGACTTTAATATAATAATTTTCTAATAATCTAAATATTAAGAGATAACCTATAAGATTTATGAAGGAAGGAAGAAATATATTTTGTGAACTTAAAAAACGTAGAAATTAGAGAAGAGAATGAAGATGGATTTTTTTGGTGCGGCATTTTCATTGCATGAGTACTCATATTTATAAGAAAAATTTGGTAGACAACATGGCTAAATTTTTCTTACACCTATTTTATAGGTTTTGACATTTTTGGTCATTTACTTATTTACAACACTCCCCCTTGAATGACCAAATAAATTACGCCTATAACATTGCCTCATTAAAAACTTTGCTAAGATAAAAACCCAGTGGAAAAAAAAATTTAGCGAATGGAAAAAGAGTGCAGCGCGTAATTGTCTCCCGCTGATGATAACATCGGTAATTCTTCACATGCTGTGTAAATGACGCATTCCGATACTATGAACATTTTTTCTGAAAAGTGCGATAGGAAGTGACTTTGTGAAGAGATCAGCTGAGTTTTCACTAGATACGACATATTGAAGATGAATGTCATTATTCTTCATGAGTTTTGTGGTATATGCGAAGAACTTCGGAGGGATATGTTTTGTCCGATCATTCTTGATATATCCTTTCTCCAATCGGTGAATACAAGCTGCGTTATCTTCATATAAAATAGTTAGAATTTTCTCAACTCGAAGACCACAAGAAGTCTTGCTGTGTTGTTTCATTAATCTGAGCCATACAGATTCTCTACTCGCTTCGTGCAATGCAATAATTTCGGCATGATTTGAAGAAGTAGATACTATTGCTTGTTTCTGGGAACGCCAAGAAATTGCAGTTTCTTCATATGTAAACACATATCCAGTCTGAGATTTTCCATGATGAGGATCAGATAAATAACCTGCATCTGCATAACCAATTAACTCTTGTTTCGAGTCGTTAAAGTAAAATAAACCCAAATCAATACTTCCACGAAGATAACAAAATATATGCTTGATTCCATTCCAGTGTCTTTTGGTAGGGGATGAGTTGTGTCTTGCTAACAAATTGACTGCAAAAGAAATATCAGGTCTGGTACAATTAGCAAGATACGTAAGGGCTCCAGTTGCACTCAGATATGGTACTTCTGGACCAAAAATCTCTTCATCATCTTTACCTTGACGAAAGGGATCCTTTTCGTCATTAAGTGTCCTGACAACCATTGGAGTACTTAAAGGATTTGCTTTATCAGTTCTGGAATGTCAAAATCACGTAATTTATTTGGTCATTCAAGGGAGAGTATTGTAAATAAGTGAATGACCAAAAATGTCAAAACCTATAAAATAGGTGTAAGGAAAATTTAGCCATGTTGTCTACCAAATTTTCCTTATAAATATAAGTACTCATGCAATGAAAAGGCTGCACCAAAAACTCCATCTTCATTCTCCTCTCTAATTTTTATGTTTTTTAAGTCCACAAAATATATTTCTTCCTTCCTTTATAAATTTTATAGGTTATCTCTTAATATTTAGATTATTAGAAAGTTATTATATTAAAATCTCTAATAGAGAAGTTATAAATAAATCATCTCTAATTAAATTATTAGTACCTTTGCGTGGATCATTGTATTTAGACCCTAGTTTTATAACAGGATTTACATTGTTGTATCGTTTTAGTTCGAAAAAATAAAATTTTTTTAAGAAAGAGAAAAATATTACACAATCTTACGTAACCTTCTATCTCACTTTTTGCCCGGCACCTTTTGAAATATTTGACATTAGTGAAATATTTTTCCATATGCATTTTACTTGCGACTTCATTTTGATTTAAATATTAATTAAAACCACATGTTTGAATGTAAAAGAATACTGTTCTAAAGTTAATTCTACAAATTACTGTGTTTGATCTCGGCAGGCTCAAGAAATTGGAAGAGCTGCGAGTGAATTTGTTCAAAATGACCTAAAGATGGAGTTCATATATGATTACATGTTCCATCTGATGAATGAATATGCTAAACTGTTGAAGTATGAACCAGAAATCCCAGAAAATGCCGTGGAATTATGTGCAGAAAAAATGGTTTGCCATGCAGAAGATGGGCCGGGCAAGAGGTTCATGATAGAGTCACTAGTTAAGAGCCCATCTGAAAGAAGCCCATGCGGACTTCCACCTCCTTATGGAGTTCGTGATCTTGGCGCAGTAATTAGGGAAAAAGCCAATTCATTTTCTCAAGTGGACACCTGGGAAAAAAATTTGTATGAGAATTTTACAATGGCAGCAGCAAGAAAATAGGTAGCTAAAAATTTATGAGCTACTTTTATTGTTTTCCTTAAAACTGTTAATTCATTGTTCTCTTCCACCATAAAAAAAAAACAAAACATAACAAAACCCAAGGATACTGTTGATAGCATAGTTTGGGGTTAAATTACACAAACTTCTAGCCTTGAAAGGGAAAAAATTTAGATATACAGTTTGAATCCTGTTTATTCGAGCAAGCTCATATATATACTCTTCGTCCCAAAATTATTATTCAGTTTGATATTTCACTTTTAGTACAATTTGAACTACAAATGAAAATCTAAACTGGACAATATTTTTAGAACGGAGAGAGTTGTAGTTAGAGCCGAACTATCTTTGATCCGACTTAATTAGGTTAAAGGATTTGTGTTAGGAATGGTGATCCATTAATTCTGTGCATTCTTGGAACTGTTGTTCGTATGATAGTATCAAACTAACAAGAGTAATATATGATCTAACTATTTTTAAGCCAATAGATGTTACACTTTCAACAAGTAAACAATTATTTTAATCTCATCTATGGTATTATATTAAGAGAGAAATCAAACTTCTCCTCTCATTAACACATAAGACAAAAATTAATATATCATTTTCCTATAAGTTGATACAAAAAATATTTACAACAATTACAAAAAAATCTTTTGAATCTTCAGTTATTTATTTGTTATCAATTGAAAATTAATTGTGTGGTAACGTTTTATTTTGTATTTGGTGAGATGAAAAAAAAAACGGAAAATCTTCCAAACAATATATATTAATTGCTTTCTTCTATTATGTGTCACCCAAAAAAGGTAAAAATTTATTTGATTCATAATAAAATCTGATTTGATTTGAAAAGCTAATCTGATTGGCGGGAATGATGCCATCAGATATTGAATCAAACATTAAACAATATTAATGATCTTTTGAAATTCAAAAATAATTAATGTCAAGAATCCTCAGTTATTCTTATATCATTTCATTCTCGGTCAAAATAATCCTCTCTATTAATTGAATATATCAGTCACTAATTATCAAACCCAAAAAAAAAAAAAGCAAAAATCATAATTACGTCTAATTACGATATGATCAATCTTATATATATGTTGATAGAAAAATCATATACCACGTGCATAATATCAAAAACTCCCAATTTCCTTTTTGACGATGATACAAACAACCTCAAAAACCTCTATCGATATCGACCTCTAGCAGCAACAACACATACGATTTCATAAAAGACTTGACACCCATGGTTGTCAAGTCTGACTGGAAAGTTAATGTTCGAGTTCTCAATGTATGGATAGCAACTTTTGAGGCGAACACATCCGTCGAAGCTTTGCTTAATGACGAACATGTTACAAATATTTTAGTGTTTATACAAATTGTATCTTGATAAAATTGCGGGACAATTTTATTGTCGGATTCCTAATGATTTCAATTGTTATTTTTCTTTTATATAAATATAAATTGGTAGGGTCAAAAGATTCAAGCTTCTGTCGACAAAAAACTCATGTGAAAATTTCAAAAGTTTCTTGAGAATGGAGAGGGAGAAACCAAACAAATTACCAACTTTAATTTGGCCGAATATACGGGAAATTACAAGTCAAACAAGCATCCTTGTTAGATTGTTTTCATGCGCAACACAAGAGTGGAACCCTGCACGATTGAGTTCATCCCAAAAAATTCATTTGAATTTGTCCCTTTCGATTATGTACTTAAAATGAATCCTATTAAGAATGACTATCTCATAGGTACGTATTCATAGAATTTGTTAAATTCAACCCTACTTGCGATTCATGTTCATTGTTCAAAATCGTTCTTTTCTTGAATGTAGATGTCCTTGGCGAGATTGTGAGGGTCACTAAAATCAGAGAAGAATCGGATAGAAAGATTTTAGACATCGAACTGGAAGATTTGGAGTAAGGAAACCACAATAATTATATCACAGTGTTGAATATATTCTAATGTAAACGATCTTACTATTACATTTTCTTCAATCTTTTTTTCAGAAAGAACATATTACAAGTGAACCTCTGGAATGAGCATGCGATCACGGTGAGAAATTATATGGATAAGTAAAAAATTGCTAACTTACCATTGTAACTATTGTTGATTGATTACAATATTTGCATTCAAAACTGTGCTTTTTTTTTAATTCTGTGACAAAATATTCTTAACAAATTGTTAACTACTATTTATTTGGTGTGAAAAATAATTAGTTTTAAAAACAATGTGCGCAAAATAATTAGTTTCCTTTCACTTGGTGTAAAAAAAAAAAGGTAACTAATAATTTCATTATATACTAATTAATGGTGAATCACTTTCCTTTTTGTTTATTCGGTAAGCACATAAACTTAACGAATGTAAAATAATTATTTGGTGCAAAAAAATAATTAGTTTTTTTTAAAATATGTAAGAAGATAATTAGTTTCCGTACATTTTGTGTAAACAAAAAGGAAACTAATTATTTAATTAATTAGATGTTGATTTTGAATCATTTTACGTACTATCTCCATTGTCAACCATACGTTCTTCAAAATATTTGAGAAACAACGCGACATAAGCATGCTAATTAATTACTGTGTCATCTTTTCCTAATTAATTAACACTATACAATATCAATAATAGATTAACTTTCAACGAAACTTTCCATAAGTCATATTTACATATTTTATTTTCACAAGAGGATACCAACATTAAAAAATATAAAATGCCACCCCAACTGTTTACTTACCTTTTGCATTTAACCCAGTATGTTTTTATTGCATTTTCCCTATAATTACTTTATTCTTTACTCTATCCTCAATTAGTAATTGTAATATTTTGCTTTTTTCGTATTTACAATTTACTGATATTTGCATTTATATATTTTTTTAAAATGATAGTTACCTTTTTCATTTATATTTAATATGTTAATATTTATATTCAGCACTTATTGCGCTTTTGTTTCACAATTTAGTATTTTTTTTAACATGTAAATTATAAATAAAAAAAAATTAATCCCATGCATCGCATGGGTTTAACAACTAGTTTTACAATAAATAACATAATCGTTTAAGTCCGGAGAGAATATTAGATTTATGTGATCTATTACTACGTCCAAAGAAATGTTCCCTTCTTTTTCCCGTTTCTGCGTTTTTCATCTTTCTTCTTATTCTCATTAACACTTTCTAGGAATATTCATATTCTGCTTAATGGAAAATAAAATTAAAAAATTAATTTTTTAATTAAAATTTCACCGAAAAGAATATCAAAATAAAAAATTTGACCCAAACTATGGATCAATTGTGTTCTTACTACACCGAAGTGAATATCAACGTCATGATTCCACTGAATTCTTCCTAATTCCATTTTGGATACTATGTCATTGTCAGAAATATATCGTAGCATACATTTTCTTCGCAAATTTGGTACTCTAACATATATATGTGCATGAATATCTCCACAGAAATTCCTATATGTTCTTTTCTTGATGGTGGCAGACAATATGTTGTCAACACTGGTTCAGTTCCTTTGTGTGATACGGTTACCCTAAGAACCTCTTTTTTTGTGCGTACTTTTAAATACTCTTTCCGTCCTAAAAAATAGTGCACGTTGAATTTTGAGATTTGTACTAGTTTTAGTATAACTTTAAAAACTCAATATAGACTATTTTTGTGTGACGAAAGGAGTTCACTTTTTTATCTGAAATTAGCTCAAATACTTAAGGTATATTTTGCCTTCTTAACTGATCGCCGGATCATGCATGACCTTTTGACTAATCAAATCATGGACATTGGGAAGGTGATTAAAGGACTCTAATTTAAGTTTTCAGCAAAAAAGGGTAATTTGATTCAACTAAGATCATTTGACTAGTCAATTAATTGCGAAAGGAGATAATCAAAACGTGGTAACGTTAATAATTATGAGTAGCGGTGAGCCGATAGGCATGCATTCATGGAGGTTTGATGTAGGGAATTAGGAAATTGTTGCAAAGAGACTGGAGAATTGAGCTGCGATACTTTTTTTGTGAAGTTAATTTTTTGGCGGATTATTTAGCATTCTTGGCCACTATTTGTTCAGGAGACATGCAGTAGTTTGACGATTTATCGTCTAGGTTAGAACACGATTTGGTCGGGATCACCTATCTACGAAATGTAATAATGTCGATCTCCCTAGACTTTGCATTATTTTATTGTACTATTAAAAAAGAATTCATCTCCATAAGTCCCTTCCCAAACTGAGTAATCACAATGTCTTCCACAGAACACTATGAGCTAGTTATAGTACAAATAAAGCTGTACAGTAACATGTAGATTGGCACAACATTGTTGGACTTCCATCTAGTCTTGTATCAAAGAAACTCAACTTTAGTATAAATAATCAAATTGAAGGTGAGGATTATTTTAAGTCTTTCTCTCTTATTGGCAAAAACAGTAACTGTTAGGATCATTTTTGCCCTAACAACAGCAGCCAGAGAATGGCCATTACATTAATTGAATGTCTAACATTGCATTTTTGCATGGATTGCTTGATGAAGAAGTTTATATATGACTCCACCAAGGCCATCCCTTCTCAAGTTTGCAACCCTACTAAATCCTTATATGGTCTCAAACATGCTTCAAGATAGTGGAACTTGGAGTTTACAAAAACCTTGCTTTCTTATAGTTTTGAGCAATCTACACATAATCACTATCTCTTTGTTGAATAAGTTCATAAATCCTTTCTGCTTTGCTAGTTTATGTAAATGATGTCTTCACATTTTATCATTCTTTTGCCCACATAAACATTTCGTAGATGTTTTTATTCTCTCAAATTTGCATCCTCCAATAAAATAGAAAGACCGTATTCTTACATCAGCATGAACCACAATATATTTCAAAAAAGTTTGTTTTACATTTTTTCATTTTTAACAAGGACAAGGGTCCTGCTTAAACCCCACTGCTGCAAATAAAGATAAATTTATATTTATGAACTAGTGGATCATAAACTAATCTATAAACGACCATTGCTGATAAATTAGTCATAAATTATCATAAACCAACTCATAAAAAAATCATTGGAGATGCTCCATTTCGGATCTATACTATCTGATGGTTATAATATCTTATTATAGTTTTTCTTCGCATGTGTGGTACTCCAACCATATGGCATGAACATCACATTAATTACTTCTCAATTTGATTCACGTTTCCACAAAAACTCCTATATGTCTTCTAGATGGTTGCATACAATATGTTTTCAGTGTTAGTTCAGTTCCTTTGTGGGATATCTTTTTGTGCCTACTTTCAAATACAATCTTTTATCCATTAGAGAATTAGTTCAAATAGTTACGGTAGATTTTGCCTTCTTATTTGGTCAGTGGTCACTGCATTATGCATGATTTTTTTGAATGATCAAATCATTGGCAAGGAGACGGTAACTAAAGGACTCTATGTTTTCAACAAAGTATCATTTGATTCAAATAAGATTAGAAAACATCTTCATGAATCCCTTTGCAAACAGACTCTTCACAATGTCTTCTATAAAACACTATGAGAGCTAGTCATGTTCAAATAAAGCTGTTGCACAACATTTAGATTGACATAGTAGGCTAGGATATGCATCTAGTCTTGTATTGAAGAAACTCACCTTCAGTGTAGAAACCCAAATTGAAGGGAGAATTATTCAGAGTCCTCTCATGGGGCAAAACCGACTATTGGGATCATTGATATTTGTCTTAGCAGCAACCCAAGAATGGCCTTAACATCATTTGAATGTCAACGTTGCATTTTTGCACGTCTTTTTCTAATGAATAAATATATTATTTCTCCATTCTAATTCAATAGTCCTACTTGGATATATACAGATGAAAAAGTAGGTGAGCAGGATTCCTAATACACCTCTATTAGTTACCAGTGAATGGGTGAGAATAATAGTAAAAATTAATTAAATATTCTTGATTTTAGTGAAAGTGATTAGATATATTAGAGCATGAATTGATAAAAGTTAATTAAATCTCTGAAATGAGACTAAGTTTTGGAAATTCTAAAAGGGGAAAGAAGGCTATCGAATTAAAATGGAGGGAGTGGCAACTTAAAACAGCAGCAACAGTGGCTGAAGATGATGATTTGCATAATACAGTAGCTGACAAAGATCAACAAATTCAACATCTTCTAGGATTGATTTAGTTAATAGATATATCGAGTGATATTGGAATCAGCCAGAACATTCGAAAGTCAATTATAACTAGATTTTTTTTTCTCAAAAAAAGCATAAAAAATCAAAGATATTCTTCTTTAAAATTTGCTGATCGCAAGGTCGACGGACCCATTGAGTCGGATTGATGATGTGGATTAGTCTTTTTTTTTTTTTCAAACGATAATTAATTTTATTAAAAAAATATATCAAAATTTATAAAAATTTTACAAGGGTTGTATTAAGATAAACTAAATCTAGCTATGGCAGAAGAGCAAAATTCTTTTCCAAGAACGATTCTAAATTTAACTAACTTCACTAATTAAAGGAAAAAATATTTTATGGACTAAAAAATACAAAATGAACCTTTTAATATCAGCCTAGATTAAGTTTGCAATTAGTGCATAGTTTATTACTCCTACTTCCCTAAAATAGTTCATATATCGAATTTTAAGATTGACTATTTTCTAGAAAGACAGTTAGCCGGTTATTAACGGAAATACAGTTAATACATTTTCCCTTCTCTGTTTTCTCCTCTGCGATCATCTAAACCCCAAACCCTAGCCATCGATTCTCTTCATTTCCGCCAGAATGTCATCCATCGCCACCTTGTACCGATCAGGAATGCGGTCCGCCTGCTTCCTTCTGTCCAGACGATTTTCCACCTTCTCGAAGCCACCGCCACTGCCCGGATTCATCCAACCGGCCTTCTACCGCTCCGGTTCATTGCCCGCAGTTTCGCGCGCCCTCGAATTCATTGCTCCTTCAGGACATCATCGGGTGAACCCGATAAGGTGTAGGGTCAATCGTTCCGGGTCCTCGTACTCTCCGCTTAATTCCGGGTCGAATGTCAGTGACCGGCCACCCACGGAAATGGCCCCGCTTTTCCCTGGTTGCGATTACGAGCACTGGCTTATCGTGATGGATAAGCCCGGCGGTGAAGGCGCCACCAAGGAACAGATGATTGATTGCTATGTTCAAACTCTGGCCAAAGTCCTCGGCAGGTAATAATGCCCTGCAATTGTCTGTCAATTGTTCTCTGTAAATAAGTTGAGTCACTCCATCCTTCCCAAAATGTCAATTTTAGTTCAATTTATGCGAAAAGTGAAATATCAAACTTGACAATCATTTGGGGAAGGAGAGAGGTACCATTTTCTGTGTTGCCTGGCGCCTATTTCAAATGATGGATTCTTTTCAGTTCTATTTTTCTTTTTAAAATTTATTTTTAATAAACTTCCTGATGTGATAGAACAGTGTAGTTCTGTGTAGTTTGGTGAGGTTGCTATTTTCTGTTGATCTGCTTCATTGTTAGTAGTGAATAGTGATCACATATTGTTGTTCGTGAAAACAGTGAGGAAGAGGCCAAGAAGAAGATATACAATGTCTCATGCAGTAGATATTTCGGCTTTGGTTGTGAAATTGATGAGGAGACATCTAACAAGCTCGAAGGTGCGCAACCTTGATTAGTGCCTTGTTATTTATGATTTCATTTTCTTTGCCTTAGTTTGTGTGCTTATCACTTCTCTTTTTTGCCATGAACAGGTTTGCCAGGGGTGTTGTTCGTTTTACCAGATTCTTATGTTGATCCAGAGAACAAGGATTATGGAGGTTTGTGAACCTTCTCTTCTTGATGTCCATTTAAAAGTATCTATTCTTTTGTTTACAAGTCTTAAATAGGTCAACTTGTAGCGATTAAACATTTAAACCGTTGCTTTTTCCCCCTCCAATTGCAGTATTTGTATATGTATAATCCTGTTACTGGTTGTGGGATTAAGTCGTTTGGGGTTCAAAGACATCTGCTTTTGTCAAATTTTTTTCGAATGTCGTGTCCTGGATGTACTTAGCTTGGATAAGCACTAGGGTAATATATGATCCATATAGTACAACCTCATGTAGTGTGTTTAAGCTTAGTTTTTGTAATTGTTTTAGTATGGGATAATTAGTTCTTCTGCATTCGACTTGCATCTTGGATGAATACCATTTGATGTCAAAGGATATGTTTGACATCAAAGTAAAGGATATTTATGTGCTGAACTTTTATCATTTACAAAAGGACCTGACTTTCTCTTGACTCAAGTTTCTATTTCTAATCAAATAATAGTATTTTGTGGATGCCCGGAAATGTATCAATATTTGGATCTATTTTTAACATTTGAGAATGCTTCTGATTTGACAGCGGAGCTTTATGTGAATGGGGAGATAGTTCAAAGGTCACCTGAGAGGCAAAGGAGAGTAGAGCCAGTGCCCCAAAGGGCTGGTGATAGACCACGATACAATGACCGAACCCGATATGTGAGACGCCGTGATAACATGCGATGAATGGTTTTATCCATCTTCTTGGGAACTATTCTTATGTATTATGTAGTAGATGAGAGCTTATCACGAGATGGTTGTATCTAATGTGATGATGTGATTGGCTGTAGTTTAATACGTGAGACAATAAAGTTAATAATCTTTTTGCTTTTTTTGAACATCTGAGATGGTTTTAAGTTTGTGTTTGATTCCTGTACTTCTTTTTTATAATTTCGGTTCGTATCTCCTGGTTGACCTTTTCGGCTCAGATGCGAACCACCTCCAACTAAAGGTTATCAGCAGAACATGGGTGATTTCCATTTCCCTACTGCTGTGATTAAATCTATGCTAATTGAGTAAGGTATTTGTAATCGCTTGGGTATATTGTCCAGGGATTAGCGAGTTAACCATCCAGTGACATTGAGATCCAGCAGTTGGAAAATTGTAAAACAGTGTTCAGAACTGAGCAGCAAGTTAATGTGCATTTTCTGTGTTTAATTAAATGAAGGTGTCCGCTAAATATCTTTGATCCCTTTATTTTCAACAAACCAAGTAGTGTAATCAAATCACAAGAAATTCTCCCCGTCCAAAAAAAAAAATAGTCGATATTGAATTTTGAGATTTATACAGTACGTTGGTGACTCATATGAACATTTTGTATCAGTCTCATTGTCGTCTGCTATTTCAGGAGTGGTAGATTATTTTCCATCAAGTTCTTCCAGCTTTTGAATAGCCATAGCCAGCATTCTTGTTTAAGCTTGAGTCCATAGATTATTTTCTTTATTCTTCATTTGATGTTGGATTTCTTTTCTTTAAACTAACACGAGCAAGCAGCTCAACTGTGCAAAAGGAGGGCTGGATTCTATTTGAGCTAAAACATATTTGGTTGTGTTTATCATATTATCTGACATATCCACCATTTCTGGCCATTTCCTATTTTGGTCTTGATTGTGTAAACTGCTAATTACGGATAGCAGTATCAGAACAATAAGAAATTGGAGTTTGCTAAGAAGGTTTCCAAATCGCAGAATCACTGATAAAAGAAGCTACATTTTACCAATCAGTAGAACATCGTAAAAAAATCCTCAGAGGCAGTCAAAATTGCCTCTTCGTTCGAAATCCAGACAAATATCTCCTCCATCAGCCTCCTACATTCCTATTGCAATTAATAAATTACATGATGAATTGACTCCATTTTTTATGTTACTACTTTACTAGCATTCTTCGTTTGAATGATGGAACTGATCGATGTTTTTATTTTTCCTGAATCTACAGAGTTTTCCGGCTCCTCTCCATTTTATCACTGAACTTTACGAAGGACTTACAATAGAAATGATGCTCCGATCCGATCTTTTGAGGCTTTTCGTTTTTGGGTGATGCTCTTTATGATTTAATCCCTTCCTCAAACAAACAAGTTCACACTAATTTTTTACACTAAAAATAATATAAATCTCAGGGAATTGAAAATAAGATCATTTAAAATAAATATACACCACATTCATACTCGTATGTAGAATCGATCTACATGTCATTTCTTTGGAAGTAGAAGTCTCCAAATAATTATTTATTAATACACACATGTTCAAATCTAAGACCTTATTGGGGGAATAAATTCATACTCTATTTGTAACAAATGATTGTTTTGTTGGTATTTCAGTTTTAATATGATTTATTTTAAAATTTAAAATTTAGATGGGATAATTATTTTGAGCAATAATACAGATAGTGAAAAAAATAATAAAAGTATATAGTGACTAATGTGTTTATAGTAATTAAAGGTAAAAGGGTAATTTTGGAGGGAAAGAAAAAATTTCAATGACAACAACATAGTGGGTACACATGAGTTCTCATTATATTATTTCACTAAAAGTATTATTTTCCAATTATTATGGGACTAAGAGAGTAACTTTTCTGGTGAAAAACTCCCCTTAGAGCTTGATCATGTATAACTGCTTCATAAAACGGAACTTTATGCTATCGTAATTAACTCAAGACTGAAGACAAAATATTGTACCACATTTTTGAAAGGATGACAACAATATTGAAGGCCAAAAGAATTTGGTGAGGAGTAATGATCAACCAAACAAATAAAGTCCCTCATTTTAGTAACAGGAAATCTGGTCCCAAAGTAATTCTTTTTAGCAAACCTTTCTATTTTTTAACAATTTTGGTGTGACAATCAAACCAATAGATTCAAAACAAGCATTACAATATTCTTATTTTCTTCGACACCAATATTAATTGTGCGCTTTCTGTTGCTTTCCATTTTAGTTATTTACAACAATCTTGCTGATCTTGAAGGCGACACCACACCTACCTCCTCAAAAAATTTAAAAAACAAAATAAGAAACTAGCTAAAACCTCTTCGAAATTGGGAAGAAACTTCATTAGTTTTGAGCTTAGTGAAAAGGCTAATGCAAATTATTATTTCAAAATCACCTGTTTAGTTTTTTTTTTTTTCATTCAAAATTAATTTTGTAACTCGATTTATCTCAAACACCAATTTTCAATAATTTCTGATTAAGTATAAGATGTATTAGAGGTTATTACTAGCTTAATGTATTGCCATTTCGCCATCTACCTTATAGATTTTGTTCTTCTTCTTTTTTTTTTTTTTTGTTTTGTTTCACAAAAACAATATTTAAAGATGGGTTGTTCTTCTTCTTTCTTGCTTTAATGCATAGGCAACTGCTGTAATTAACCTATTTATTTTTATTTTTTGCTTGTTAATTGTAAGACTGTTCACGGTGGAAAGAGAAGCTGAACTGGATTATGTAAAGGACATAAGCAAGATTCCAAACAAATCGAGCCAAGGTCTGCCTGCGTGCCACTACACTTTTTGTTCGAGTTTTAAGAGCTTTTTTTCCCCCAAACTTTTTTATTTATATCTACGCATGCATATTTTGATAGTTCGAGCAAATTCATCCCCTACGCCCTTTATGATCATTATCCATTCCCTTAATGAGAACCTAGGGGAGACCAAATTTGTCCTTATGTATGTTTCTAATCTCTTTCAAGATTACAGTTATATGCTAAATTATCATGCACGTCAACATTACACATTAAGCTAATAAGCTTCCAACATCATCAGCATCATAACGACAAATTCTTATAATACTTGTAAACGAAAATATCGAAGGCCGTACATTGGGACAATTGGACACATTAATTAATCAAAGAGTAATATGATGTATCTTAGAGTGCAAACTAATTAAGGACAAGACACGATATTAATCATGCTTTATATTTTTAGTGGTTTGGTTTGTTTGTATCTTTTCTAGCAAGACACGTGCCCTACCTCGAACTATCTTTCCTATTAATTTTTTTTTTCTTGCATTTAGATTTCATCATATCTTAATGTTTAATCATTGATCATGAGACCTTGGCCATAGAAATTTTTCACCCCTTCCATAAATTCATCCGAGTTGAACTTTTTAAAAAAAAAAAAAAATGAAGGAAGCTAATGCGTGAGGTCATCTGAGTTGAACTAATAATGCCAAATAGAAACGGGAAATGTAGCATAAAAGATGTCCAAACTCTAAACACCTGTAAAGAGGGAAAAAAGGGGGTGGTCAAAAGGGTTAGGAGTGTGTGAGACCAGCAATGATGTTTTCATATTAGACTTTTGGTTAAAAGTAGGGCATTGCTATTTGTATTTATAAGAATTACTCATTTACAGTTATTTGGATATTTTTGTTCCTGAGTATTATAAAGAGTACTAAAATACATAGTTTCAAATTACTTTTTTCTCTTCTTCTTCTTCAACTCTCAAAGAAAAAATCCAAAAATCATAATGTCAAACTCAGATCTACAATAATTTGGAGGTTAAGAAAATAGTGAAACAAGAGAATCAAACACCGGAAGGCTCGGCCTCAAATTTGATATGTTATTTTTGAAAATTCATTGAATATTATTAAAAAAAAAAAAACATTTTGGACAGGGATAGTAAAGAGCTAGCCACCTCCATGGATTTAGCTAGCCGATTTTGACCCGGCTAGCTTTTTAGGGGTAGCCGGTTTGCCGCTAGCTACCCCCGAGCAATTTATTTTTTCTTTATTTTTTTTAATTTTTTTATGTTATATTCATTTTAGTTATTATTAATTTTTTTTTAATAATTAGTTTGTTTGAATGAATAGTATCAATCTTTATTGTTTAGATTTTTTTATTTAATTAAAAAAATAAATATTATTAATAATGATTGTTTATGTAAATTAAATTTTTTGTAGTGGTAATTATATCTTTGTATTGTATTTATAAATACTAATTGGTAGTGTGTAATAAATGAAATATAATTTAAATTATATTATTTATGTAAATAAAATTTAATATAGTGTTAATTGACTATCATGTAAGATAATTAAATTTAAATTATAAATTGTTCACTAGGTGTGTTTTATATAATTTAATATACTTAATTGTGTAGTTATTTTTTTATGTATATATTTAAGTTTGTTAAATTTGATTATGTTTCATTACAGGATTATGGTGGTAATGGTACTGACTATAGTTCGTATTTCAAGACTCGCATTAAATTCAATATTGTTGATGATGTTGTATAATGGGTGAAACAGATTGTGAAATCTCTTGGTTTTGAGGTTGTTATTGCGTTAAAGAGAAGTGAGACGTCAAAATTATTGAGAAGTCCAAATGATATTCCCTCAAGAGATACGGAGAATAAGGTGCGAAGTACGAAGCTGCAGTGTTGTGGATGCAAATTCCAGCTTATAGCCGAAATGCGGGATGATGGTATTTCATTTGGCATTCGTATTGTACCAGGTCCTAAGGGTATACATAACCACCCATTTGGTACACTTAGGGAGGGACAGAGGCAGATGGGCAGGATGAGCGATAAAGCGAAGAAGATTGTTAGGGAAATGTTGAGGTTTGGAGGAAAATCGGCCGCAATGGTGAAGCAAATTAATGTTGAATGCCCTGACGACTACGTAGTCCCCAAACAGGTATACAACTACAAGAGTAGGTTGCGATTGGACAGTTTCGAGGATAGAACTTCGGTAGAGTAGTTTTTTTACGTAGCTAAGGAACACGGCTATGTGATTTTTACAGATCATGATTCGGGTGTGTTGAGTAATATTTTCTTGGTACATCCAGTATCTGTACCGATGCTCAGAATCTACAGGTGGTACATTGGTATGGATACTACTTACGGAACAAAGAGGTATAAGATGCCCCTGTTCTAAATGATTGGGATGACTCTAACCAATAAGAATTTCTTGATTGCATATGCAATTATGAAGGATGAAAAGAGTAAGAGTTATGATTGGGTGATGGAGCAGTTGCGAAATTTGATTGGGTGGGAGGTGCATCCTACGGCCATAGTGACAAACAGGGAGATGGAACTGATAGGTCCAATCAATAAGTGGTTTCCAGAGTCTGCATATCTTCTGTGCGTGTGGTACATCGACAGATGTGTTGTGGCACACGCGAATAGTTATTGTAATAGCGAATTCGCAATTTGGTGGATGGACAATGTATTCAGAGAGATACTTCTAGCTCCTACTCAGTACGAACACGCAATGGCTGTGTTAGGGATGAAGGCATACAGGCACTCAGAGGCTAAAAGTTATGAAAAATTGGTGAAGTATGTCGAGGACACTTGGTTAGTTCACAAGAAGAAGTGGGCTCATGCGTGGACAAATGAGGTGACACACTTGGGGAACACTAGTAATTCTAAGATGGAAGCCGCTCATAGTGCCTTGAAGCAGTTTCTTGAGACGTCGGACCTGCAGCTAGATACAATATGGATCAAAATCCACAATGGGATCGAGCATACTTTCACTGAGATCAGGTACATTATATTATTGTGTTTTTTATTTCACTTCGTATTACTAATATTATTACCAATAGTATTAGATTAACAATTATGATTTTTAATTGCAGGTTCAGTCTAGGGTTGTCGGTGCGACGTTCGAATCGATCCCACCTTCAGTTCTCTTATGATCGTATAGTTAAACGTGTCTCACATTGCTGCTTGGAAATCCTTGATAGGGAGTTTGCTCGCATGCATGAACTGGGCGAAGATGTTTACCAGAGTTGTGGTTGTGTGTTGAAAAATACTCATGGAATCCTTGTGCGTGCGCGCTTAGATGTATAGTTGATGAGTGGTTGTCCCTTGAAGTAGCCGACATCCACCCTTTTTGGAGCAGACTAGATTATAGGAGAAACATACCTGATTCGGCTCCTGATGACGATGATTCTGATGATGTTGATATTGCTGATGATGAAACAGATGAACAAAAGATTTTTTCAAGTCTTGCGGATGTGGCGTATAATAAGAAACCTGCTGTTTTGAGGCGCATCAATGCATTCCTGCAACATGTAAATGACTCTGAGCATTTGAGCTACGAGCAATCAAAGGTGAAGACGAGTGTGAAAGGTCGTCCGAAACTTAAAAAGCGGATCCCTTATTTTTGGGAGAAGCATAAGACAGGAAATGGTCAATCTCGCATGAGTACTTCATCGTAGAAGGACACGCCATCTGAATCCTCGCATAGATCCAATGATAGAGGTAAGAATATTTTATATTGTAGCACATTTAAGTTTAAAAATTAACAGTGTTAACAATATAATCTGAAGAAGACAATTTTAATTTTTTTTAATATGTGACACAAGAGGTTGGAGGACGGATATTGTTTCCTATGGAAGTGCTAAGACCATTCTGTATTTTATGCTTCCCTACATTCGGAGATACCTTGATGTGAAGCCAAATAGGAATTGTGGGTTCCGTTGTGTGGCAGAATATATCCGTGGCACGCAGGAGGAATGGCCGTGGGTCCAAGCAGTGATTGTTAGTGATCTTCTTACATTGTGTGATTTGTGGGATAGTGCATATTATGGAAAGAGAATGGACGATGTCCGACAGATAAGGTGGGAGAAAGGTGGATGCGGTCGACATCACTGGATGGAAAACACAGACTTGTTCGCCATTGCTACTATCTGGAATGCAACAGTTTTTATGTACACTCTCGGACCTGACTTGAACAGGAATATGAACTTTTTTTGTTATACAGTGTTGGCCCTTCAGGCTCGCGATAGCGTCACAGGACCTACTTGTGAGATTGTACTTGTTTACCTTGGACATGCTGACCACTACATTTGTGTTGAGTTAGGTGGTGATTTTTTTGTGCCTCGTATACATCCACATTGGTATAACTGGGCTGATAACAGTGTTGTTGGATGTGATAACATATATCAGGATAGGATAGCAGAGTGGAACCGCCTATGTCCATTTAGTCAGTAGCTGACTTTGCCATCAAATGCTGTTTTTTAGTTTGCTAATCGAGTTATTTAAATTTTATTTATTTTAGAGCAAATGACTTGATGACATAGATCCAATAAAACACACATCACTTTGTCAAATAAAAATCCAATAAGTAATACATAATATCCTAATTAAACACACTCCACTTTGTCAAATAAAAATTAAGTAACACATAATATCCTAATTAAACACCCTCCACTTTGTCAAATACACATCAATGACTCGAATGAAAATCCTTGGTGAATTGAGCAAACAATGTCTGATGTTTCCTTGCAGTCTCCAGATCCCATCTGCGCAATTCACCTAGTGTGTCTCCATATAACACAGACAATCGGTTGATCCACTACACATAAAAATAAGAAAATACAATTAATATTATATTAAACAAATCTTAACTAAATTTATTAATCTTATAATAGACAAAAGACGAATTACGTGAGATATGTTTCCAACTCCAGCTCTCGAAGTCCCAACAGTAGCGCGATCCAAAACAAGCAGAGGATGCAAAACTCGAATGTACCAGTCCAGGTAACCATCTACGCATGTAGTCTCATATGTATCACTCGGCTGTAACTCACCTAGATCGAGCTTGCTACTTAACGGGAATTGCGCCCAAGCGTCTAATGCAATAGTGCGTGACTATATAATCTTGTACATCTTGGATTTATTACTACGAAATACCTCCGAGGGACTAGGGATAGGTGGAGAAATGGTCTGGATGTACTCAATCTGGCGCAATACTCGTACAAGCAAGTATGGCTCAATAATATCTCGGTACTGTATCCATCCATTGTACAAGGTACTCGGATCATCGTCAACAGGCTCGAGTCCATAAGGCAACCATGTCACCTACACAAAAAATATAAGAAATATTAACAACAATATTTTCTATAATAGTCCATAATCAAGATTGTTAAATGTGACATACATCCGTGGCTGTCAGGCCATTGATCTCCCGCCGAAACTTCTTCAGACGCTTTGCGATGTTATCACGACCTGGGACATCCCACCATCCAGCTTGGGGCATTGTAAGATCTCCTGAGGCACGGTCCCCACCTGGTCTGAAGCGTGGAAAGTATTTATATATCTATGCCTGAATGAGTGTGAAGCACACGGAGAATGAGGCATTTTGCACTCTGGTGGACACGTCAAGCTGGCGATAAAGATATGCTAGAGTAGCAGAGCCCCACGAAAGCTCGTGACAAGTGGCTAGATCATCGACAATCTCTGAGAGAATCACCACTCTAATCCGAGTCCCGCTCCTATCCGTTAACAACGTGTTCCCTAACATAAGCCATAACCAGGCAATCGCCTGATCTCGAGCATACCGACCAATACGGCAATACTGTAGGACTTCCTTTCCTTGAATCTCTCCACCCTGATATGCTTTACTAGCGACTAGATCCTCAACAGGCACTAACAATATCCTCATGGTCAAATTATGACAATCACTAACCTCATGTTGTGCTGTAATCAAACTATCATCAATGAGAATGCCCAATATCCATCGCACATCGTGCAACATGATGGTCATCTCTCCAAAAGGCATGTAGAACGTGTTGGTGTCCGACTGCCACCTCTCCACAAATGCTGTAATGAGTGCCTTATCAATGTTATTGTGCATGATGCCCACAATGTAAGACAACCCTGCATGCTCCAACAAGTTCTTCCCCTCTGGCCCCATACCATCCTTCCAATCTTTCAATTTCTTGAAATATGTGATTCTTGTATCCATTTCTAAGGGGCTTTTACACGAGTCTTTTGTGTCAAGAGAATGGCCACGTGCCCAAGAGAACTGGGAATAACAGAACCGTCCTGAGGGCCACTCCTAACTGGCCCCGTCACAATTCAATTGCCGGCAGTGCTCACTGAAATTATAAAAAATAAATAATACATTTTTTTCCAAAATATTTGAAAAAAAATATTATACTATAATTAAAAAAATAAATATTATACCTGATGATGATGATGATGATACCGCAGACTCACTGCCGCCATGATGAACAGTAAGGCGTCTAACTACAGGGGGATGTCTAACTAGAGGTGGAGATGAAGGTGTGTCATCTTTGAAATGATTATACCCATTCGAGTCGAAATTCTCGAATGGAACATTTGATTCGTCAATGACATTCTTCCAGTCCAAACTAGTCTGATCAAATATTTCGTCAAGTCTCCGTAGACCAGACCCAACCATCAATGTAGAATCAGGTACAACTGGTCTTTTCGGTCTTTTTTCTTTAACCTACATTGATTAATATATAACTACATTATTTTACTATAATTCACATAAAAATTAATATAACACATAAATTAAACATATGATCAAATAATCAAATAATAATAACATCTTAAAAGTATAACCTATTTAAAATATTGCTAAAATTATAACACATAAATTAAAACATGCTCTAATGTTTTAAATATAACAACTACTTATTTAAAACTAAGGTAAAAAAATTCAAATAATTATAATATCTTTAAATTATTACTACAATAATTATAATACATAAATTAAAAGATGCCATAATTATTAAAAATATGACAACTAATATAATTAAAACTATATTATTTTTAAAATTCTAATTTATACTTATTATTCAAATTTATTTAAATTATAATAACATGAATACCAATAAATAAAATATAATCAATAATGTATAAAAAAATATAATTAAACTAATTATTGAAAAATAAAATCTATAAATAAATTAAATAGAACAAACACAATAAATATAAAAAAAAATAAAAAAAATTACTCAGGAGCAGGCGTCGGACCGGCTACCCCTGGTTGGGTAACCCCCGCAGGATCGGTTACCCGGGGGAAGGTAGCCAATCCGAGACCGGCTACCTTTGGAAGAATAGACAGATCAAAATCGCTACTCTATCAAAGGTAGCCGGTCTCGGATAGACCTTTTTCCGGGTAGCCGATCCCGCAGGGTTACCCAAACTGGGGTAGTCGGTCTCATTCCAGAATTATTTATTTATTTATTTATTTCAAATTTTTTGATTACAATTTTGATTAAAAAAAAAGTTTACAGGTGTCCAGGGCGAGATTCGACGTTGTTTGCCTCGATCCGCCATTTTTTTAGCTCCCGAATCTTTGTAGATCTAAGTTTAAAGATTGGGTTTTTGGGTTTGAATGTGAAGAAGAAGAAAGGAGAAGAAGATAGAAGGAGGAAAAGGAGGAAGGAAAGGGAAGAAAATGAAGGGAGAAACAGTCAACAGTAAATGAGTAATTTTTCTTACTGCAAAAAGCAATTCAGCAAAAGTAACCATAGTTTTAATAATTAATTAACTGACTTTTAATTTAATATTGGGAGTGGTCGAGCAATGTCTTGCTTGGAAGCACTGTCGTGAAGGACCCTTTGTGTTTAAACAACCTCCTTGTCCTTTTTGGCTCCCTAGAATATATGTACATTAATAATCTTTCACTTTTTGATTTTATTAAGTCCAAAATTCCGTTCATAAATTATGCTAGCTAATTCATTAAGTTTAAATATTCATTTTCTTCTCCTTTTTCCACAGTACAAAGTTGTCACATAAATGGTAGTTAGGAATCAATTAAGGCAAACCCATCATATGGCCAATAATGAAATCACGGGACATGCAAGTATGATCGCATCCCTATAATTTATTTAATTAATAAAGATCGATCTGTGCTTAACATTTAGCAGAAAAATATATACTTATCTCATTTTTGCACTAATTTCTAAAATATAATTATGTTGTTAGTTTAGAAATTTCTTACCATCTTCGTAAAATTTCTAATTCCGCCATTGCTTATGGCAACTGCAAAACAAAGATTTTTTTTTCTTAATTCAGCTCCATCTCAGAAAACTTATGTTTTCTTTTCTTTTCTTCTTTTTTTTTTTCACTTTAGTTTGATAAACAAATTTTCTTTGTGACGGAGAAAGTACTAAAAGTAATAGATTAATATTATTATTAAGATACAGAATTAAAGATCGATGTTTAGTTTGCTAAAAGTTAGTAACTCCTACGTATATGTGAACAAATTGCTTAATTACTGATATTTGTTGTCTTAATCATACCCGAAACGAAAAGAAAGAAAAGCAAAAATAACGTTGCTAGTTGACCACAATTATAGTACTCCCCTGCAATACAAACGCTTTGTTTTTTGTCAATTTCCTTTCCCTAATTAGCAAGATCCTGTGCTAAAACAATTCGATATAAAATGAAACAAAATAATTTAATCTATGATCAGACTTCGGACAATTGAAGGACCTCGATGTAAATTAGAAATTTTATTTGGTGATTTTCGCAGACTGATCCAGATTGAACCTCTGCTATAATTGCAAAAACCACTATTCTATCTTCAAATAATTGTCATTTTATTGTTCTAAAAATAAAACTAAAATTATTTAACCAACCAGGATGTAAGATGTACAATTTTTATATATTAAATGAAGAAGAAAGAAGAACAGTTAAAAAAATAACACTGGGTGTGGTTGGTGATTGTAATAATGGAAATAATTATGGCGAAAGGATGGAGACGTGTTTCATGTTGACACTCTTCATGCACAATTCTCTTCGATTGTTCTTTCTTTTTCTATTCTTTTTCTTATTGTTGCTTTCTTCCTTCTTTTTTTTTTTTCCTTATAGTATAAATATACTTTTTCATCTCCAAAACATTACTCCCTCCGTCTCATAATTATTATTCAGTTTGAGTTTCTATCTATAATTCAAATTGTACTAAAAATGAAATCTCAAACTGGACAATAATTTTAAGACAGAGGAAGTATCTATTTTATTGAAATAAAACAATACAATAAAGTGATTTTTTTTTTTTTCCTTTGAGACAAAGAATACTATACATGTAGTCATGTAGATTGGTCAAGTTATTTCAAGTGAATTTGCTGGCAACGAATTAAAGCATAAATAAACATCTCCTATGGCCAATGGGACTAATATATTTAGTTGTTGAATAAAAATGTTAACTTTATTGCTGGCCGGTTGCGATTCTGTTCACTGAACACAAACTTTGCAACTAAGTTTGAACAAGTTCAGGTGGATTTCTTTCCATTTTTATTTGCAGTTTAATGAATGTCCCCGAATCATAATAATTCTCATGTTTTTTTTAAATTTATTTATCAATTTAATACAACAAACAAGGTCTTTTGAGAAATAGGAGTATCTATCTGTCTTTGCATGGTTGTATTGCGGATGGGTATAATAACTTTCATTTTAAGCCAGCCATATTTTTTTTGAGTTGTCAAATTCACAGAATAATTGTTTCTTCAATATAATAAAATAATAATTAAGAAAAAAACCATTGTCACATTTACATTAAAATGATTATTCAGGAAATCAAAGTGGCTTGTATGAAAGTATTTATTTATGTATATAATCCCATTCACACTATAAATTATTTAGAAATCTACCTATCTTTTTCTCTTCAAGAGAGTTTCAAGAAAGAATGGTACATTTGAACATAAACGTTAAAAGAGCAATTTTAGCTAATAACGGTGGGCAGTCTACATTAATGTTGATCTTCAATGATTAACAAGTTTATTAATTTTTATACAAATTATAAACAATCTTGGTCAATTCATGGTCATACGTTTTAGAAAATTATTGAAAATAATATCCTTTTTCTCTTTATAATAATTCAATATTAATCAAAGAAATGCGCGTCTATACATTACCCTCATAATTTAAAATATTAATTTTTCCTCCTTGAAAAACAAAATAATAATTGGTTAAAAGAGTGTTTGTCTTCTTTTTTGTACTCGTGCATGTGTCTCTATTCTTGCCGACGGAAATCAATAATAATGCAGTATTCTTTTGCGTTCGTTCTGCATGGAACTTTTTCGAAATAGTATATTAAATTAAAATTTTTATTGATATATTTAGTTTAAAATTAGTGGCTATAGATTTTTTCTAATACATGTATTAGAAAAATATCACTTTGTTAATAACATTTGTAACGAAACTTGTGTGCTTGTTTGAACGTCAGTTTTCTTTTCATTTTCAACTTGAATATAGAAAGTGTTTAAAGTGGAAAACATAATGGAAGATAAAAAAGTTGTTTGGATGGTATTTTAGCAAAAAGTTGTTTGGATGGTGGTCGAAAAATGTTTTTTTGGAATATGTATTGAAATATCAAGTACAAAAAATATCACTAAATAATTGACAAGTGTCAATTTTAGTTACTTTAAAAAAAAAATTTAAAAAATGACCACTAAACAACGTAAAAGTGTCGATTTTGGTCACTATAAAATGATCACTAAAATCACGGAATAGTTTCTAAAATTAATATTTTACAGTGACTAAAATCGACACTTTTTCGTTGGTTACTGATTATTTTTTATTTTTTTTACAGTGACTGAAATTGACACTTTTCGATTGTTTAGTGATATTTTTCGTACTTGATATTTCAATACATTTTCCAAAAAAATTTTTCCTAACCACTATCCGATTGGGCCTCGGTTTTTTGACTAAAGGCAAATTGAAATAAATGTGCAAAGTTTTAGATTTAATCACTGAACTATTTTTAGTTCAAAAATAGTTACTGCACCAACAAAATGTTTCAAATTTGATTTTAAAATGTAAATAAAAAAACTGTTTGGATGTCAGTTTGATTTATATTGAATTTTGTGTTTAAGAGGCAAAATGAGTTGAAAATGCAAAATAAGTGGACGTCCAAACAAGCTTATATTTTGTGAAAGATAGTATGAGGATTTCGTTAACTGCTGGTCTCCGTTTGTATAGTTTCGTTGGGCATATCAAAGTTTTATACACTATTTTTTTTCAAATATTAAAGTTTTATTTATTAAATTAAAATAATACAAAACATAGGACTTGGGCAGACGGAGTAGTAATATGTCATTGTACATGCCATCAAAACATATGTTTAACCATTCCAAGTTTCAAATTCAAATGGGAAATCAGTTATTTTATTCATTGATTATTTGAAAATAATCATCAATGTCTTAATCTAGGATAGCAAAAGGAAAAAAACATCAATTCAAAATTTCAAATGAAGTCAAATTATCAATGATAGTGACTAGTGAGTACTCATCACTCAACAAATATAAATTTGTCAATGGATCAACAATATTATATTACAATTAGATAAAGAAACATAATACAGCCAATGAAAAGACGAATTAGTATGAACGCATCAGGGTAATGTTATCTTTCGGTCCTAAAATGATTTAGTACGACAAATTGAACAATAAATTTTGAGTTGGTAAAAGTATAATTTCATAATGTAATTACCAAAAAATTTATTTAAAGCAATTACAGAAGAAACAAAAATGGCACTGTAAAGTTCGTATAGGAATGGCATTATACTTTTTTCTTTTTTTGGCAACAAAAAGTGAGAAATAAAAACCCCCGGGGAAAAAAAAGAAAAGGGAAATGCCGCCTATTTCAATTAATCAAACAGAAAAGGCCAAAACCACTTTATAATTTGTAGCAGTTCATATCATCATCGTCATCAATCTTTCTTCTTCTCTCTCTCTCTCAAAATGGGGTTTTATCTCTGCGTGTGAAATTTGAAGAGTTTTCTTTCTTTAATACAAATCATATTCTATCCATTTCTTCGAGGAAATCTGTTTCGAACTCACTTGCTCTCCGAGTGTTTTTCTGACACCAAACTTCCTCTCTCTTTGAATCCAAGTTACCCCATTTTTCTCTTTTTCCTTTTCCTTTTTTTTTTTAGTGTGTTTTAATTTTCTGACTTCACTCTTTTTCACTCTCCCCACTTTTACTTTCTGGGTAGTTACTAATTTCCCACAGGTTTCGTTCTATTTCCCGTTTCTTGAACAAACCCAGCTGATTTTTTCTTTTCTTTTTGCTCCTTTTCTGGGTTCTTTGAGCAATTTCTTGAACTTCTGCTGTTGATTATGGAGTCTGTTCGTTTGAGGGTATTCTTACTTAGCCTACTTCTCATAGTTGGGATTGCTGAGGCGTTTCCTCCAGATGAAGGTAAGGATAAATTTGGCACTTTCTTTCTTTGTCCCTTTTTCTTCATAGATCTTGGGGTATTGTTAATTGCTCTGAACTTTGGCAAAGTTTCTTTCTTTACTTCAATGTGGTGTTTATAGTGTTGTTTGAGGGCAATGTGGGACATGGGTTCAGTGTGGTTTTTGAAGATCTTGTAATGTTAATTGGGATAATTGACGGTTTATTTTGATTATTTCAGTAGCAGGGGGCATTTTTGTTTATCATTCTAATCTACTTCTGCTTTACTATTTGATTCTGCAGTTTTTGCCCTGAAAGCCTTTAAGGAAGCCATATACGAAGACCCTTTTTTTGTCTTGACGAATTGGCAAACTTTAGATTCAGATCCTTGTGAATGTTTTGGCATTTCTTGCACAGAGGCCCGAGATCATGTCACAAAGCTGTAAGGATTAAGGAGTTCCTCTTTTGGCTATTTCACTTGTTAAAATTTGTCTGTTTTCATTAAATTTTGTGTTTGTACAGTTACCTGTAGTAAAATGATTTTGGTGGCAATTTTGGATTTTCATGGAGGCATGGCATTTATTTTGCAGGAATATTAGCGGGGCATCTCTGAAGGGTTTTCTTCCACCTGAGTTGTATCTATTGTCTTATCTGGAAGAACTGTGAGTTCTTATCGCATTAACTACCTTTGATCCCACCTTTTGATATTTCTAAATCATGTAACCGTAACGGGTGTATACAACCGTCATATGCAGAATTTTGCATCAGAACGCGCTGATTAGTACCATACCCAAACAAATTGGTTTGTTGAAAAACCTTAAGGTCTTGGATTTGGGTGCGAACCAGCTTACTGGACCTATTCCACCTGACCTTGCAAATCTCGGAAGCATTGTGAAAATGTTAGTAAATGTGCATTTTATTTACTGAGGGTTGCAACTTGTTTCTGGCTTTCTCTCGAACTCAACTTGAATTTATGTGCTGGTGTATTATGCAGAAATCTTCAGTCTAATGGGTTGACAGGGAAATTACCTCCTGAACTTGGTAGTTTGAAGTCCCTTCAGGAACTTCGGTTGGACAGAAATAAGCTCCAAGGGCCTGTCCCTGCCAGTAATGGCTCAGAGTTTTCGAATAATGTCCATGGAATGTGAGTCAAAATCTCTGAATCCTTCTATGTTCTTACTTCTATTTTTTTGGGTGTGTGTTTGTGTAGGTGGGGTAGTGGGGTTGTTCAGAAAATGTGATAGGATGATATTTATCTTTGCTGGATACAGTCTTTGGTGAACGTTTTGGCAATCGCTAGTACTGAAAATGCAATGCTGAAACTTAATCTTGTCCATGTGTTGCTTGTTTCGCTTCATAGGTTGAATTGGTTCTTTCTATGTTTAAGCTATCTCGGTTAACACGTGTTTGTCAATTGCGATATTTTCTCTATATTAGGTTCTCCACTATGGAGGCAAGTGGTCTATGCCGCTCATCACAGTTGAAGGTTGTTGATCTTTCATACAACTTTTTCACTGGACTACTACCTAAGTGCTTGGAGCATTTTCCAAGGTGTGTTTTTCTCTGATGTGTTGTTTAATATGCTTTTTGCCTGTGCTATATGATTAATCTTTAAAAATTCCCCGTAGGGTGAGCTTCCAAGGGAATTGCCTAGATGATAAGGTTCCAAAGCAACGACCTACTGGGCAGTGTGGTAAGTTGTGAGTTTTTTTTACAGACAAAATTTCAGTGTACAACCAACCAAGCTTTGACATCATTTCTATTCTCTTTAAATTGCCCTTCCTAGATTTGATTAACTATTTCACCAATATATTTCAACTACAGAAGAATGTTATTCATGAGTTGTCTGAAGCTGGTTTTCCAGTTCCATCTTCTTTTTGTACTTTTTCGGGATCTCTTATATTCTCTTGCTCAATTATATCACACTTCAAATTGACTCAAGTCTTTAAGGTTTCAGTTTTTCTGTTACGAAAGATTTTTTTTTGTCTTCATTCAGTCACTGGAGGTGCTCCAACATCAAATGGCCGTCAAGTAGTCAGCAATAGCCACCATGCTGTTGAAGATCCCAAGCATCATACCTCCAGTCCGAAACCTTCCTGGCTTTTACCGCTGGAAATAGTAACTGGGGTTATGGTTGGTACCCTAGTACTGGGTATTATCATCTCCGCTCTTCACAAGTGGAAAAAGAAACCTTTCATTATTAACCCATGGAAGAGATCAGCAAGTGATAGGGGCTATTCTACCATTTGCGTAGGTTTGTCTGTTACTGCAACTGTACTTCATTTGCTGGTATATTTGTGCTGAGATTTATTTCTGAGAACTAGATTTCTTTTAACGTCTTGCGCAGATCCTGAAATCCTCAAAGGTGTAGCGAGATTCAACAGGCAAGAACTTGAAGTAGCCTGTGAAGATTTTAGCAATATTATTGGATCATCACCAGACAGCCTCGTCTATAAGGGTAATATTAAAGGTGGACCTGAAATTGCTGTGATATCTCTTTGCGTTGCAGAAGAGCATTGGACAGGCTATTTGGAATTTTATTTTCAAAAGGAGGTAATCATATTCTGAGCAAAACGTCAATAACGACATATAAATTCTCAATTGAGCATGAGTTCAACCCTATGGACCGTGGTTTTTATTCAGGTGGCAGATTTGTCCAGATTAAATCATGAAAATACTGGGAAGTTATTGGGTTACTGCCGGGAGAGCAGTCCTTTTACAAGAATGCTTGTTTTTGAGTATGCATCAAATGGAACCTTGTATGAGCACCTTCACTGTAAGGATTTTTTTATTTCCCTTTCTCATTTTGAAATATTATTTTGTGATTATCTTACATTTATAGTTGTATTTTTTAACTGTGTGCTTGCAGATGGAGAAGGATGTCAGTTATCTTGGACACGGCGAATGAGAATTGTCATTGGCATTGCTAAGGGGCTGAAATACCTTCATACAGAACTTAATCCACCATTTACCATCTCAGAACTGAATTCCAGTGCAGTATATCTTACTGATGACTTCTCTCCTAAGGTAAACGCTGGGAATTATACCACCTGGAATCTGAATAATGTTTCTAAGCTCTCTTTCAGATTGGGAGTGAGGGGTTAGCTATAACCTTTCTTGGATAATTATTTGTTCTCTCTCTTCTTACTTCATGCGTCCATTATCCTGTATATTAAAGATAGATTTACGAGATTAAAAAGTCACTATCTGTCATCCAATTTGGTCATGATTTCTGAAGAGTTATGAACATCTTCAGGAAGGAGTGATAGGAGCTTTATGAAGGATAAACATAAATTCATACACAGAACACTTGCTTTTTGAATCTTTTATACATACGAATCCTTGTGGGTCTGATTGGATTAGTCTGCAACTGCTACAAGAGAGATTTGGTTTGCTTTCCTTATATGTTTCTTTGATTTCCTACTGCAGTTGGTTGATTTTGAGAGCTGGAAGTCAATCCTCTCTAGATCAGAAAAGAATTCTGGCAGCATCAGCAGTGAAGGAGCTATTTGTGTCCTTCCAAATGCCATGGAGGCACGGCATCTAGATATACAGGGGAACATATACGCATTTGGGATCCTAATACTAGAAATAGTCAGTGGGAGGCCTCCATATTCTGAGGACAAGGGTTACTTGGTAGATTGGGTAAGATTTCGATGTCGCACATCTCAAAATTGTTCCATCATGTTCAATGGAAATATTACTAATCTGTAGAATAAACATCAGTAAGAACTTTTATCACCTCTGATTTTGCAGGCTAAAGAATATCTTCAAGTGCCAGAATCAATGTCCTCTGTGGTGGATCCTGAATTGAAGCATTTCAAGCTAGAAGATCTTAAAGTGATATGTGAAGTCGTAAATATCTGCATCCAGGCAAGCTCCCACAGTATCAGTTCAATGCAAGACTTGTGTGCAAGGTTAGAAAGTGGCATCGACACCTCAGTAACTGCAGAACTTCGAGCGTCTTCTTTGGCGTGGGCGGAGCTTGCACTTGCATCCTAATACCTGATGATGCCGCAACAACACCTAACACTGTAAATCCTGTTCGAATTTCCTCTACCCTTTTCGCCTTCTCCCTTGCTGGTTTGTTACAGAAGCGAGCGAGATGTTGTAAATGCAGCAATGTCACTATAGAAAGTTTTTAGTAGTCCTTGTGACTGATGATTGATTGAGATACCAATTCTTTGTATACGGCTGACCTGTAGGTGAAGCAATGTTATATAGCAGTTTTCATTCTAACACAACAAATGTTTCATTCTGAAGCAAAGCATCATGATGAGCCAATTTACAGGATATTAGCCATGCATATAAGATAAAGGTTGTTACTTGTTGTCCACACGTTTCCACATTTTTGGCGCAACTGTATATTCATTTTTGTCTCTTATCAGTATTTGCATAAGATATGGAGTAATTTTATACCATAGTTTACTAACAAACAATGATCTTAAAATTGGAGTTTGTACAGATAGACGGAATCCGAAATTGGATAATAATTTCAATAATTTCCCCTAATTTGTTCATCAAATTTGGATCTCAGAATGGGATTTTTGTTTAGTAATGATTGCATACATTTATCAACGAGAAATTAAAATTTGACTAGGAAAATTCTGACGCCAAAACACCATTATACAAAGAAAAATGGGCCTGGATTAACATTTTATCAAATGTACGTCAGTCGAGCTAGCCTTCACAATCGACGAACCTCATTGCCGGCCGGCCCAGAAAGGTGGGTGCTTTTTACGGCCAAAGGGAAATTGGCGCCTTTGTCTTTTCTGAATGTTCCAACTCCCACGCCTGCTAAAACCACGGCTCCGCCACCACGAACCGTCACTTTGCCATTTCCAGATAACTGATCATTGTTGAGTGTTGACCCAGGTCAGACTGCTATTTGACTTTGGAAGCTTTTCATTCCAATCCACATCTGGATTTCGTTTTTCAAATATGTTTCACCGTGTTTGTTCAGCTATAATCTGCCCTAGTGAATTCCTGTGTTGGGTAGTGGATTGCCTTCTTCCAGAAATTGTAAAGTTATATTTAATTCTGAATTAGTTACTGTTCTGGGTTTTTGGAATAGCAAATGTTCACTGGAAATGGTTCCAAGAATCGTGATAAACTTCTGGATGAAGAGATTTTTTGGATGTAATTTGATAGTGCATTTCTAATCTTCTTCGGTATCATGCAAAGCAGCTCTCTTTATTTCATTAATTTTCTCCAACTTTTGAGATTCTGATTAGCTGTTTCTTTTTTTTTTTTCTTTTTTTTTGCTGACGGACCAAGTAATCTCTGCTAGATTTTTCTTTCTATTTTTTAGTATAGTATCAGTGATATAGTATGATTCCTTAGTTCAATCATTAGTATAGATGGTACTGGTTGGATATCATATACGGATGCACAAAGTTTCTGTTAGTATGCTGAACATATTTCTCTTGCTGATCACTTAGCCATTTTGCTTGTCCTCAAAAAGATTTTATGATTGACTTGTCAGCCAAGAGGTTTGCTTTATTCAGGATCTGACAGCTTTACATTGGCTCGCATTCGCAGGTCGTTCACTTTGCGAAGATGGAAGCAGATAGCCAAACATTTACTAGGAAGTATGCTGCTGATATTTCCTCAATAAAAGAGGCACAACAACGCATCAAGTCATTTGCACACATAACTCCAGTACTCTCCTCTGAAACCTTGGACTCCTTCTGTGGTAGGAAGCTCTACTTTAAATGTGAATGTTTTCAGAAGGGGTAAGAATTCCAGGGAAATTACTTTTTAAGTAGTTGAAGTTCATGTTTTAGCCTTTTTCTTGGATGTTATTCGTGGATTATTTTCTGTTTGAAGCAGTTTGCAAACACCCCAGACTAAGTAACCGGGATTATATTTGTTACTGATTTTTCAGTGGAGCTTTTAAATTCAGAGGGGCTTGCAATGCTATATTTTCACTCGAGGACAGTCAGGCAGAAAGGGGGGTGGTGACTCATAGCAGGTGTTTCCTATGCTTTCTGGTTCCTTATTTCAGTTTCCTGTTCAGAAGTACCTGAATTATGCCTGATTCTGTTTTGGAACATAGCGGTAATCATGCTGCAGCACTTTCTCTGGCTGCAAAACTACGGGGCATTCCTGCTTACGTAGTTGTACCTAAAAATGCTCCAAAATGCAAAGTTGAGAATGTCAAACGTTATGGTGGCCAGATTATCTGGAGTGAAGCTGCTGTTGAGTCTAGGGAGGAAACTGCGAAAAAGGTTCTGCAAGATACTGGTGGTGTTCTTGTCCATCCATATAACGACGGACGAATTATCAGGTGTTCCTCTAATACCTTTTGGGTTTTGGAACCGCTAGAAGGAAGTAGAATAAGAATTTTCTTAAGATATATCTTTTAAGGTTTCACCATTTGTATCCTGCCCAAGATTAGTGTGTTCATTTCTCAGCTTTCCTTTAGCCTTAAGTGTAGGTTGGTGCACTTGCTAGTTGAATCCACTGTATGCGGTCCCTTTATTCTTATTTATCAACTTCATTCCTCATCAACGAAGGAAGTCATAATGTTTCTCACTTCTGCCTGAAAGCTAGGCTAACTTTAGTAATGTATTATCTATGAGGTAATTATAGGCTTTATTGAATGACTAACATAAGACAATTGGGGAGGTAGAAACTGTACATGTTAATTGCTTTTTATTTTGCAGTGGACAAGGCACCATCTCACTGGAGCTCTTGGAGCAGATACCACAAATTGACACTATCATTGTTCCAGTTAGTGGTATGTTACTTTAAAAATCGATTCCCATCAATGAGTCATATGTAACTGGTGGCTGATGCAATTTTTTTTCTAACCTGTCTTTCTGGAGGTGGAGGCTTGATTTCTGGGGTGACACTTGCTGCTAAATCCATTAATCCTTCCATCAGAATATTGGGTGCGGAGCCTAAGGGTGCTGATGATGCAGCTCAGTCAAAGGCAATCGGCAACATTGTTAGATTAGCAGAGACCAGAACGATTGCTGATGGACTTCGAGCTTTTCTCGGAGAGCTCACATGGTATGATGAATGAATTAGGGTGTGAGTGATTTAAAACAATACTCCCTCTGTCCCAAAAGAAAAGGCCACATTGAGTTTTGAGTTTTGAGATTTGTACTATTTTTCGGACAAATCTCAAAACTCAATGTGGACTATTCTGGACAGAGGGAGTACTATTTAGTATTTACTTTAGTTTATTTGGTTGCATCATCACATTTGCAAGTCTTTTGCTTTGCATGGTTTGCCAACTTGTGATTTTTCCACGTCATTGTACCATATCCCAAGTGTGTGCTTCGTGTATTGTTATTTTTTTCATGTCTCTGAGCTCTATGGGTACACGTGGTCCACACAAATAACTCTCATTAGAAGAAAGCTTCATTATCCCCAGATCCCAACCGAGTTGGGAATATACTGGGTATATTGTTGTTGTAGAAGAAAGCTTCATTATGTATTTGTTTCTTTGTTGATGCAGAACTCTGAATGCTTGTTGATGTAGTATCTGTGAATGCTTCCAAACAGTAACCACTTTTCTTCTCAATTCAATGCAGGCCTGTTGTCCGGGATTTGGTCGATGAAATCATACTTGTTGAGGATACTGAAATAATTGAAGCCATGAGGCTTTGTTATGAAATCCTGAAGGTTGCCGTGGAGCCAAGCGGAGCAATTGGTCTCGCAGCTGTTTTATCCAGCCGCTTCAAGAATAATCCGGCTTGGAAAGACTGCAAAAACATTGGAATTGTAGTTTCAGGAGGCAATGTCGATTTGGGTGTGCTCTGGGATTACTTGAACAAAGGACTTTTGTAACTTTGTGACCCATTTTTCTGGACAAAATTGCTGTATTGTTCTGAACGATTTGGATCGGTGGCTAAATCCAACTGGACATGAAAGAAACTACATTTGTGTCCTGAAAGTTGATTCGATGGTAATTAAAACAATTCTCATCACATACCAACATTCACAACAATACCTTGATTACACAACAGCAGTTCAATAATCAGTTGAGAGTAGAGAACGATGACAAACAACTTGGTTGAAACTTTCTTTGTAGGATAAAATGAATGCTATGGCTTTTGGCAAAATTTCTTTACTTAAGTCGTTTTTGAAAGAAAAGGCCATTCTCAGCAAATTACAGAGCAAAATGTTTCAATTACACCCAACTGCAAAGAAAATGAGGTATGGAATTTCAATGCTTTGCTCGAGAGTAATGATTATCATTGGGGTTTCTTTTTCCGCTAAAAACTGCAAGTGCTTTCCTAACAGGAGGTTGAAGGGGAGCTTTCTTATCCGTATGGTGGATAAATATGTTGTCCGGCATAAAGATATCATCTTCCTGTAAAGAAAAACAGCCAGAATTTTTGTGTCAGATGGAGGATCATAAATTCATCACATAGAAGAACAGATAAATCTCTGTGGTCGGATGACCAACCTGCTTATTCTGTTTCCTAGTTTTGGGATACATATATTTTTGTGGAAGCTGATCTTCCCGTAAAATTGGGTTCTTGGTGATGGCATCTCTTCCACCTTGAGGTAAAGGGAGGGAGAACTGCAATGTGGCAAAACAAAGATAAGATGAACCATTTGAGGAAGGCGGGATGCAAGTAAGCCAGACCTAAGCCTACAAAATGACTATTCTTAAACTTAGTTTTAACATGGCATCCCCTTCCCAAATCAGCCCGTCTCTCTAGGCTACAGTACGCAAATCAAAGACAACTTTCAACAAGGTGTCGAAAACTAACTTCATTTCACTTAATGGAAGGAAAGATATCAATAGCCAAGTCCAAATTCCTCAACAATGTATTACAACAGTTAAGAACTTAGATTGCAAGGATAAGAGGTCATAAACTTCATTCGACAACCTAATATTCAGTTCTCACAACACCTAAGCAAAAAAGCTTAAAATTCTTCAAAGATCAAAACATCAACGTGGGTACTCACTTTTGTTCCACGCACTGAGATACGAGGTCGTCGTGCAGCCAGAACAATACCATTTTCCCCAACTGTAGCAGCAACTTTGCGCAAAGTTCCTCCATTCCCACAGCTAGGGCAGAAAACTCTACCAATATCTGTGGTCACCTTGTAGCAGGCGTGGCATTTTAGTATCCACCTGAAATTAATCAAATATATGTAAGCTAGAAAGTATTTCTTAAGTAATGAAGTCAGAAAAGACAGCATCTCCAACACAGTACAGCCATTACAAGTGAAATTACTAAAACAATAACATGAATATCAAATTTTGACATGACTTAAGTGTAAATATAATATATAAACCTGTGTAGCTCCCGGATCTGCATTCCTCCAGGTGCAAGGAGCCGTAAGCCCATCTGAAGAAGCACATTTTGCATTGCATAGTCACTAGTCACACAGGCCACACTTGACTCAGACAAAGACCGGACTGTCCAGCTCTGCTCACTACTATTATCATCCAAATGTGATGCATCAAAACTTTCACTGTTCAGGGAGGGCGTGTCCAAGTCATCCAGACCATTATTGACCCCTGTTTCTTCTTCCTGATCACAAGTAGCTTCAAAATGACTAGAATTGGCCTCCACAAATGAAGATTTCACATCTTCGCTGTCATGAAGGGCCTCACGAGATTCTTCTTCAAGGCGCATTTGGTGAAGAAGTGTGTTCACATCTTCATGATTGGTATTCTCCATTTGATCAGTTGCATGCATCTCTGACTTCTCCTCAGGAAACTTCTCAGAACCTTCCTCCACAAGTAACTCAGGGCATTCAGTATCTTCATTTTTTCCGTTTTCTGATCCATCAGATTCATCATTGTTGTCAACATTTCCGGACAATGCCTCCTGCATTTCACGCCTAGCTTTTCTTCTCAGGTATCTCCTCCGAGTACTACGGCCCACAGCAGGCTGCCAATCCCCTGCATCAGCGTCAACTTCTCCCTTTGTTGCATCAATTCCATCTGCCACCATCTTCTTCCCTTCAATCTTTACCTCAACTTTCTTAGTTCCATATTTCTTATGATTCCTAGGAGCATTACTTGCATCCCCTTGATTCTCAGATTGACATTCAACACCATTTCCAATCAAATCATTATCTGAACCAGGATGCCCATTAGAAATCACATTCAAGTTCAAATCTTTCAGGGGAAGAATTTTCGACTTGGAGTTTAACTCATCCTCATCCGCATTCTCCAATGCTTCCCACTCCTCTATATTAGGAACATTAGAACCCCATCCAGGCAAGTCTTTCTCAGGAAGCCTTTTAACATTAACTGTGTGCATAGGAGGGGGACTATCCCTAAGGTGTTGAGTTCCATGGGTCTGAGCTTCCAATGTATATGTTAAAGCAATGAGCTTAAGATCCACATCTGACAAAGTCTGTAGATCACCAGTTGCTCTTGCAAAGCTTATCACTGTAAAATTCCACAAACAGTGGAATCAATGAGAATTAGCTAATTAGTTTTTAAGCGCAGATGCATTTTGCACAACCTAAAAGCGATAAAACCAACACTCAATATCCAACAGCACCCTTCCCCTCGAGACATTAGAGTAATCTTAAAATAATGTTCACTAAACAACAGAACGTTAAATGATTATCAATGTCAATGTGCCTAAATCATTCCTACAAACCACAGAAAACAGCAAACAAACAAACAAACACAAAACATAGCTCACCTTTCTTGAGAGAATCAGGGGACGGTTCCAGGGTGTCAACAGAGAAGGGCAAGAAATTGAGGGAGTGGCGGGAGTTGGGGTCACGAATTTCTCTGAGCACTTCCGAAACCGAGACAAAACGGTCGGCGACATGAGCTAGAGATTGGCCGCCGTGTATTATGGCGTTGGCGTCAACCACTGCCACCGCAATACCCTTGGTCGACTTGCAGCTTCCAACAGTCACTCCATGGTTCACCGTACTAGGGGAGATATTGGCGGACGAGACGGAGGAGGAAGCGGACGGCGGCGGCGGCGATGGTTGCTTCAGAAGGTTGCTCCATGAAGAAGAATTGAGCTCCATGCTGACTGAAGGCGTCTGTTGTTAAACCCTAGAACCCAAACGTTTAACAATGGTGGGGGATTTATCATTTAACGCACACTCAACGACGTCGTTGGTATTTAATTTCCAATATTCCAGCTTTCTCTTCTTCTTCATTCTTTTTTTTTTCTTTTTTAATAATTTCTATATATACAGTATTCTTTTTGGTAAAGAAAAACAAATATATACAGTATCTCAATTAATTTTTGTCACCACTTTAGAAAAGGTCCAAATTTTATTTCAGTAATTAAAGAGTACACCCACATTTTCTATTCTTTACAGTTTGATTATAATTTTTTTTTATTAAAAATGAACAAATTTACTTCACTTAAAGAAACAATTGAAAGAGTGAAAAAAAAAAAATCGAAAAAAAAGAATGAACATCACTTCGAAATTTATTATTATTATTATTGTTGTTGTTGTTGTTGTTGTTGTTATTGTAGTGTGTCTATCATTAGTAACTGTAACTAATTGTTGAATTATACGTATTTTGATGGGTGAAATAGTTGGTTAAAAAAATTTAAAATTACTTTATATCTATTACAAACAGTCCAAGTTCAAATCCTCGATTTATGGTTGAGGAGATTATATCCACTATACTTGCGAGCATGTACACCCGCCCTATTTTTTGCACTATTAGTCTTTATTATACTTTTTTCTCAATCTTCTTATAATTTGTAAGTTTAGTCCTTGTCATTTTTTTCTCTCTCTTCCAAAAAAACATCTCTAATCTTCAAGCAAATCTCTCAATCCGTGAAGAATAAGAAAAAGTGTTACACATAAATTTTATTTTATTTATCGAGATCTATGCAACAAGATTCATATGAAATATTTTTTCGGGTTTAAAAATAATTAAATTCTGATGGGCAGAAATAGGGTGGATATCTCGTTTAAGAAAATGGATAACCAACTTATTTTAAATTGGTTATCCATTGTGTTCATACTGATTATCCAACCAGTTTGAACTAGTTATCCAACTTGTTTGTACTAGATATCCATTTGGTTTGTATGCCTATCCAACTTGTTTTGTAGTTGTAATCCAATGAGTTTATATGCATATCCAACTTGTTTGTACTGGATATCCAACTTGTTTGTATTGGGTATCCATTTGGTTTGTATGCATATCCAACCTATGTGTACTGGTTATCCAACGGATTTCTATGGCTATCCAAACAGTTTCTACTGGTTATCTAATCAATTTTTTTTTTGTTTGAAAAAAATTATTGTCCAATACGCTAATACTGGTTATCCATTTTATTTATGACGCTTATCCAATCATTTTTTTTCCTTTGAAACACGGTTATCCAATCACTTTGTATTGGTTATCCAACTATTTTTACTGCATGTCCAAATAAGTTTGTGTTATTTATCCAATCATTTTTTTCTTTTGAGAAAATACTTGTCCAATGTGTTTGTACTGATTATCCAACTCCGTGCTATTGTTTATCCAACTATTTTTTGTTTTTAATTTTATGGAAATACTTGTCCAATATGTTTGCACTTGTTATCAAACTAATTAGTACTATTTATCCAACCTATTTTTTTTTTCTTAAAATGGTTATTCATTGTGTTCATACTGATTATCCGGCCTGTTTGAACTGATTATCCATTTCATTTGTACTAGTTATTCAATTTTTTTTATGGAAAATCATTGCCTAATGTGTTAATAATGATTATCCAACTAATTAGTACTGCTTATCCAACCTAGTTTTTTATTTATTTGTTTATTTTTAAAATAGTTGTCCAACACGTTCATATTGATTATCCAACTGGTTGGAAAAGATTATCGAACCATTTTTTTTCTCTACTTTTTGCGAAAATCCTTATCCAATTTTTTGTAATGACTATCTAACCGTTTTGTATTGGTTATCCAATCATTTTAACTGATTATCCAAACAAAATTTCTCTTTTTTTTTTCTTTTGAGAAAATGCATGTTTATTGTGTTCATATTGGTTATCCAGCTTCTTGATGATGGTTATCCAATTTTTTTTTCCCTTGCTCTTTTATGAAAATAATTGTCCGATTTTTTTGTACTGGTTATCCTATTATTTTTACTGATTATCCAAATGGTTTCTAATGCTTATCCAATCATTTTTTTTCTTTTTTTCTTTATTTTTTTAAGAGGATTGAATGTCAAAAATATGATTGGATAACAAGTATAAAAAGAATGGATAATCAGTTCAAACCGGTTGGATAATCAGTATGAACACAACGGATAACCATTTTTCAGAATTAAAAAAAAAAAAACACATTTCTTCATTTCTGCCCGTAAAATTTAAATGCATTTAAAGTTCAAAAAAAATATTTAACGTTGATCTTGTCGGATAGATCTCATCGAGCACTATAAATTTCATATATAATTTGTATTCTAATTATTTACGGATTGAGTGATATAAATTTTACAAGAATATCAATATAAACTAAGTTGATTATCCATATTTTTAAACTGGATATCCATCTAAATGAAGATACAAATTTTTTTGTTTCTACCCATCAAAATTTAGACATTTTTAAGTTGGAAAAAATATTTGATATGGATCTTGTTGGATAGATCTCGACGAGTACTATAATTTTCATGTGTAACACGTTCTGTAATTCTTTACGGATCATGAGATATGGTCGTTTCAAAAATTAGAGATGTTTTTTAAAAGAGAGAAAAAAAAAAGTCACAGGGACTAAACCTGTAAATTATATGATATTATTTAGAAAAGTGAAAAAAGTGTAGTAAGAACTAGTAATGCAAAAAATAGGAGGGGGAGCATGGTGCTCCCAAATATATTGGATAAATTGCATGATTAAGGCCTCGAGGTGAAAGAATTTAATGAACATAATCTTATTAGGAAATTAGCGAGATACGGACATTAATCAACCACAAAAGATAATAACCACAGAACAGTGGTAGGAAACTGTATGAATGATTATGTTTCCATGTATGCACAAGTAAATACTAAAATCAGGCAATTTATTGGGTGCACCCGGGGTATCATACTCTCCCTCTTATTTTTTGCACTACTAGTCCTTATTGTACTTTTTTACTTTTTCTAATAATCTTACTATTATTTGCAAGTTTAGTCCCTATCACTTTTTTCTCTCTCTTCTAAAAAAACATCTCTAATATTCAAACGATTATATCTCTCAATCCGTGAAGAATTAGAAAACGCGTTACACATGAATTTTATTGTATTCGTCGAGATCTATCCAACAAGATCCAAGTCGAATATTTTTTCCGAGTTTAAAAATGACTAAATTTCGATGGGCAGAATAAGATGGATATCTAGTTTAGAAAGATGGATAACCCAATTCATTTTAAATTAGTTATCTATTGTGTTTTTGTTGATTATCCAACCAGTTTGAACTGGTTATCCAACTTGTTTGTACTGGATATCCACCCATTTGGTTTGTATGCCTATCAAACTTGTTTGTAATGGATATCCCGCTTGTTTGTACTGAATATCCATCCATTTGGTTTATATGCCTATCTAACTTGTTTGTACGCACTGGATATTTATCCATCTTCGTGTTCTAATTCTTTACGGATCAAGAAATATATGTACTACAAGAATATCAATTTAGACTAAGTTGGTTATCCATCTTCTTTTTTCTTTTTTTTTTCTTGTTTGAAAAGTGAATGTAAAAAATATGATTGGATAAAACAAAATAGGTAATTAGTCTAAACCGGTTGGATAATCAGTATGAACACAACGGGTAATCATTTTTCAGTTTATTCATTTTTGCCCGTAAAATTTAAATGCATTTAAAGTTCAAAAGAAATATTCAACATTAATCTTATCGGATAGATCTCGTCGAGCACTATAAATTTCATATATAATTCGTGTTATAATTCTTTACGGATCAAAAGTTATAAAGAACACAACAATATGAATGTAAAATAAGTTGGTTATCCATCTTCTTAAACTGGATATCCAATGTGTTCATATTGATTATCCAACTCCTTTGTGGTGGTTATCCAGTATTTTTTTTCCTTGCTCTTTTATGAAAATGATTGTCAAACTTTTTTGTATTGATTATCCAATTATTTTCCTATTGATTATCCAAATTGTTTGCAATGCTTATCCAATCATTTTTTCTTTCTTTCTTTTTTTTTTTGAGAGTGAATGTCAAAAATATGATTGGATAACAAGTACAAACAAAATGGATAATCAGTCCAAAGCGATTGGATAATCAGTAGGAACACAACGGATAACCATTTTTCAAAGAAAAACGAAAAACATATTTCTTCATTTCTGCCCGTAAAATTTAAATGTATTTAAAGTTCAAAAAAAAATATTCAACATGGTTCTTATCAGATAGATTTCGTCGAGCACTATAAATTTCATGTGTAATTCGTATTCTAATTCTTTACGGATCAAGAGATATATGCAATACAAGAATCTTAATATAAACTAAACTGGTTATCCATCTTTCTAAACTAGATCTCCATGTTATTCTGCTCATCGAAATTTAGTCATTTTTAAACTCGGAAAAAATATTCGACATGGATCTTGTTGGATATATCTCGACGAGTACTATAATTTTCATGTATAACACGTTCTCTAATTTTTTACGGATCATGAGATACAGTCGTTTAAAGATTAGAGATGGTTTTTAAAGGAGAAAGAAAAAAAATTAAAGGGACTAAACCTGTAAATTATAGGATGTTATTTAGAAAAATGTAAAAAACTGTAATAAGGACTAGTAGTATAAAAAATAAGAGAGGGTGTATGGTGCCCCGGGTATACTAGATAGAAACTCCTAAAATTACGCACACAGAATATCAATAACAATAAAATAATATTTTTGAGTAGAAATGTCACAGAATTAGTCTTTCAAAGTACTATGTTATTTCACACATCACTCCCTACAAAACGAATCTTGAATACCTTACAGTAAACGATTCTTGACAACAAATTCCTCATCATTGCTAATAGACATTCATTATTACTATTGTCTCTATTCTTCGATCATGAGTGGTACCTAGTGA